ACTAAAAATACAAAATTAGCCAGGCTTGGTGGCATATGCCTGTAATCCCAGCTACTTGGGAGGCTGAGGCAGGAGAATTGCTTGAACTTGGGAGGCGGAGGTTGCGGTGAGCCAAGATTGCGCCATTGCACTCCAGCCTGGGCAATAAGACCAAAACTCCATCCAAAAAAAAAAAAAAAAAAGTGCCTATCACTTCTTCAGACACCCAATTACTCAATCTAAAATAACAATCCAGTCACTCATGCCACCCTATTCTAATATTTCACAATTTCCCTCTTTTCACCCCAACTCCTGGAATGTAAGTTCCATATCAGCAGGGATGTAGTCTGTCTGGTTCATTGCTGTACAGCTCCTATGATAGTTCCTAGTATCCAGGAGGCATTTTAATTTTATTTTTAATTTTTATGGGTACATAGTAGGTGGGGTATGTGAGATGTTTTGGGGTATGTGAGATGTTTTGATACAGGCATACACTGTGAAATAAGCACATCATGGAAAATGGGGTATCCATCCCCTTAAGCATTTATCCTTTGAGTTACAAACCATTCAGTTATATTCCTTAAGTTATTTAAAAATGTGCAATTAAGTTATTATTGACTATAGTAACCCTGTTAGGCAATGAATAGGAGGTGTTATTCATTCTTTCTAACCAGGAGGCATTAAAAAAAACAACCAAAAAAAAACCAAAATAAATGTAGACTCTTAAATAAAAGTGAATGAACAAGCGTGTTCACAGCCACTTTGAAGGGAGGGTTTGCACAATGGCAAAGACGTGCCAGGAAATGCACCAATGCACTTTTATTAGCAAGTGTGGGGCCAGATGTCAGTTGAGATGTCTGTTCTTTGAGAATCAGATGAGATTTTCTTGAACTCCATTTCGTGTATTTGGACAAATTCTCTCTCTCCCTTGTCCATAGAGCAGAAGGTCCAAGGAGGAAAGTTTCTAGAGAAAAACAATGAATGGAGAAAAGATTTAGGGAGGTGGACCACAATTGAATTTGTATTAGTCCATCTTCATGCTGCTGATGAATTACCCAAGACCGGGTAATTTATAAAGAAAAAGAGGCTTGACGGACTCAGTTCCACATGGCTGGGAAGGCCTCACAATCATGGCAGAAGGCAGAAGATGAAAAGCACGTCTTACGTGGTGGCAGGCAAGAGAGAGAATGAGAACCAAGTGAAAGGGGTTTCTCCTTATAAAATCATCTCATCTTGATCTCGTGAGACTTATTCACTACCACAAGAACAGTATGGGGGAAACTGCCGCCATGATTCAATTATCTCCCTCTGGGTCCCTCCCATAACGTGGGAATTATGGAAGCTGCAATTTAAGATGAGATTTGGGTGGGGACACAGCCAAATCATATCAGAATTCAAAAGAAGGAACAAGGAAAGGTTTTTCAGCACATTAGGGAAAATCCCATAAAACGTGTTTCAAAAGTCAAAGGGAAAGAAATTTTGGAGGATAGGTTGGTTAAAGGGCAAAAATCTTTTTTTTTTTTTTTTTTTTTTTTTTGTGAGATGGAGTCTCACTCTGTCACCAGGTTGGAGTGCAGTGGCGCGATCTTGGCTTACTACAACCCTGCCTCCCAGGTTAAAGTGATTCTCCTGCCTCAGCTACCCTAGTAGTTGGGATTACAGGTGTGCACCACCACACCCAGCTAATTTTTGTATTTTTAGGAGAGATGGGTTTCACCATGTTGGCCAGAATGGTCTCGATCTCTTGACCTCATGATCCACCCGCCTCGGCCTCCCAAAGTGCTGGGATTACAGGCATAACCCACCGCTCCCGGCCCCAAAAATCTTAAGTAGAGTGAGGGTGGTGGGTAATGTGGCTCATGCTCTGACATGCCTGTTATTTCATACTCTGGGAGGTCAAGGTGGGAGGATCCCTTGAGCCCAGGAGTTCAAGACCAGCCTGAGCAACATAGCAAAACCCTGTCTCTAGAGAAAAATTTTAAAAATTAGCTGGGTGTAGTGGTATGTACCTGTAGACTTAGCTGCTCAGGAGGCTGATGTGGGAGGATCACTTGAGCCCAGGAATTTGAGGTTGCAGTGAGCTATGATTGTGCCACTGCATTCTAGCCTGGGCAACAGAGCAAGACCCTGTCTCAAAACATAACAAAGCAAATCTTAAGTAGAATGAAATGGACAGCTATGCTTTAGATTAGAAGGAGATAGGATTTAAGAGTAGCTATTAATAGAGGCTACATTTTATCTTGAAATAATATTGAATGAACTAGGAGTAAAAATGTTATCAAGCAAATGGACTCACTGCCCATTACACACAAAAGCCAATAACTATGGCACCTGCCTTTGAGAAAAGAAAGGCTTTATTGCAAGCGGTCAGCAAGGAGACAGGAGTGGGCTCAAGTCTGTCTCCCTGATTTAGGGTCTAGGGCAAATTTTAAGGGATCAGAGAGCAAGGGAAAAGATTTAGGAATGTTGGCTTGGCAGGGTCTGATTGGAGGGCTTCAAATTGTCCCATTTAACATAAGGTACTGTTACAGAACTGAACTTTGGTCCACTCACCTGGCTCAGAAAGATAAGACTTCCACACTGAGCTTTTGCAGCGGTAGGAATTGGGGCAGCTCATGCTTAAGACCCAAACTCCCTGATGGCTTGCAGGTAAGGATTTTTAAAGGCAGGGGTAAATTTCAGGAAAGCAGAAATTACAGGCAAAGTCATCAATTAATACATGGAGTCTCTGCATTGTTTAGACTGCCATCTCAAAGGGCAGGGGAATGGGGGTTGGGGAACAGGTCATAGATGGATTAAAAGATTTTCTGATTTGCAGTTGGTTCAGGAGGTGAAGTTTTGTCTAAAAATTTGGCGAGCTGGGTGTGGTAGTGTGTGCCTGTAATCCCAAAATTTCTTTTTTTTTTTTTTTGAGACGGAGTCTCGCTCTGTCGCCCAGGCTGGAGTGCAGTGGCCGGATCTCAGCTCACTGCAAGCTCCGCCTCCCAGGTTTACGCCATTCTCCTGCCTCAGCCTCCCGAGTAGCTGGGACTACAGGCGCCCGCCACCTCGCCCGGCTAGTTTTTTGTATTTTTTAGTAGAGACGGGGTTTCACCGTGCTAGCCAGGATGGGCTCGATCTCCTGACCTCGTGATCTCCCCATCTCGGCCTCCCAAAGTGCTGGGATTACAGGCTTGAGCCACCGCGCCCGGCCCCCAAAATTTCTTTCCCTTTGACTTGGGAGGCTGAGTGGGAGGATGGCTTGAGTCCAGGAGTTTGAGACCAGTCTGGGCAATATAGTGAGACTCCATCTCAATTTTTAAAAATTAAAAAACAAAAATTTGGGATCAGCGGAAAAGAACGCTAGCTCTGCTTGTGTGTGTGACCTCCTCCAGGCCCCTAGGAATAAATTTAGAACAAATGAGGCAACAGAGTGCCAGCAGATGTGTTTGGTGGGGCTTGGGGTTTCTAAAAAACATCTTAGAGACATGTGTTAAGATATTACCTCTAGTTTTAACAGAGGAACCAAACATCTGAATCCAACTTCCTGGGCTATTGTTTTAGGCTACTGTTACCTTCTTCCTTATCAAGTTGCTTATTTACCTGTCAGGGCTAGCTAGGTTCCTAGAATTTCCCTTGAAGCAACTCAAGATTTTCCTTTATTCCCATGGTTGGGGGGCCCACAGGCCCCTAGAGAAAGGGATCCCTACTCCATCTCAGTATGTTGAGGACTTTTTTTTTTTTTTTTTGAGACAAAGTGTTGCTGTATCACCCAGGCTGGAGTGCAGTGTTACAATCTCAGCTCACTGCAGCCTCGACCACCTGGGCTCGAGTGATTCTCTCACCTCAGCCTTCCAAGTACTAGGACCACAGGCACCCGCCACCACACCCGGCTAATTTAGGAAATTTTTGTAGGGGCCAGGCACAATGTGTCACGCCTGTACTCTCAGCACTTCCGGAGGCCGAGGTGGGAGGATCCCTTGAACCTAGGAGTTCGAGACCAGCCTGGATAACATGGCGAAAACCCGTCTCTAGCAAAACACAAAAACATACAAAAACCCCAAACCAACAAAAATCAGCCTGGTGTGGGTTAATGTCCACCACTAAAATGTCCCGGCGTGTTGGCGTGCACCTGTAGTCTCAGTTACTTGCTAGGCTGAGGTGGGAGGATCAACTGAGCCCAGGAGGCGGAGATTGCAGTGAGCAGAGATCGCGCCATTACGCTGCTGCCTGGGCGACAGAATGAGACCCTATCTTAATAAAATAAAATATAGCGACTAGGTTTCGTTTCTTTCTTTCTTTTTTTTTTTTTTGAGACGGAGTCTCTCTCAGTTGCTCAGTTTGGAGTGCAATGGCGCGATCTAGGCTTACTGCAACCTCTGCCGCCCGGTTTCAAGCGATTCTTCTGCCTCAGCCTCCCGAGTAGCTGGGACTACAGGCTCCTGCCACCGCGCCCGGCTAATTTTTGTATTTTTTAGTAGAGACAGGGTTTCACCATCTTGGCCAGGCTAGTGTTCAACTCCTGACCTCGTGATCCACCCGCCTTGGGCTCCGAAAGTGCTGGGATTGCAGGCGTGAGCCACCGCACCCGGCCGGTAAACTCTTAAATTTTGTGCAGACACAATCATACAAGTTTTGGGAAGTCAAAATGAAGGAAACAGGTGGTTACATGGCAAGTATATTTAATGCCATACGTCCTAAGAAATTGGAGGTGGGAAAGGGAGCTCTGGAGAGGGAGACAAAGAAAATAGTTGAAAAGGAATGCAAACAAGAAAAGGAGGAATTGAAAGCTGAAGTGAAAACCAGGGGCAAGAAAAGCTCCAGTCCTTCCTTCACTGCCCACTCGAATGAATGAATTCTGTTTGGTTTCCTGAATCTTCCTTCTGCTGGCCACTCCGCTTGGTCCATCACTGCTTTCAGCTCGCCCTTACCCTAAACAGCTTTCTTTAACCCAGTCATAATCTTAATATCCTGTTCCTTCTCTCTCCCGTCCCACCCACAAAAAAGCCCTCCTCTTGGTCATTTTGGGGGATTTTCACTCAAGATGTGAGCCGCGTGCTGCGGGTGCGGCGAGGCTGGCCCTATAAAAATGTTTCTGACATCCTTGTGCGGATACGCAGACTTCTCCACCTATAGGATCACGGGCTAGGGGGTGCTCGATCACAGCAGCCAACGTGTGAAGGCGCCTTGCAAAGTATTAACAGCGCTATCAGATTTTAATTGCGTAGTTCTGAACCATCAGTTATGTGAGGAAACTGGGTCCTCCACGATCGGCCGCCTCGCCCAATCTCAAAGGATAATTACAGGCTGAGTTCGGCACCAGGACCCAGTTTCCTCCTGGCAGAGGTCCAGGTACAGGCTCACGGTCGCCACAGGTCGGTCTGAGGAAAACCGCAAGCTGCGCCAAATCTCGCGCAGCGGGGCTGGAGGACGGGCGGGGAATGTAACGTATCGCGAGATGACAGGATTTTCCCGCGAAGTAGAATCGCGCTTTTTTCCCTGGCGGGGGATTTGGCGAGAAGGCTGGGCCGGCAGAGGCTGTGAGGAATTAGCTCGCGGCATTGCAGGCGCTGAGTGGAGGGGACCCGGTTCCCGGGTGCGTGTCCAGGCATGCCAGCGGAACGGCCCGCGGGCAGCTGCGGTAAGTGAGGAGAACCTTCTTTCGGGCGCGGGTGGCGGCATGCGGGGCTGAGGTGGGCAAGCATGGAGACTGCGGCGGAGCTTGGGGGAGGGAGCCGACCCCGGGCAGGGATTGAGGAGGAAGAGAGGGTTGGGAAACTGCCACGGTGAGTGGAGAAGACCCCGGAATTGCACATATTAGCATGCCGGTGAAGATTTCACATAGGGAACTGCATTTTCCGAGCATCCCGAGTTGTAAACTGTGGTCCAGGCACTTGTAGACTTTGCGAAGACCTACGGTGTCTTCTGAGAGGTGATGCTGGCGTCCCCAGGGTCTTCTCCTTGTGCTCCGGTGCATCTCGGGTGGGAGAAGGGCTGTTTCATGTTGGAGTTGAGTAGTTAGTAATTTTTTAAAAACTGCAATTTGGAAGCTTTCTCTCCCGTCAGGCTCCCAGGCTCCAGCAATGGTTGAACAGCTGGACACTGCCGTGATTACCCCGGCCATGCTCGAAGAGGAAGAACAGCTTGAAGCTGCTGGACTGGAGAGAGAGCGGAAGATGCTGGAAAAGGTAATTTGGGCATCAGGTTCGTCGTCGTGAAAGCCCGTGGTAACCTCGGCTTTTACCCGGAGGTGTGGTTTATGTTCTTTGCTTTCCTATTTAGTGGGCTTTTCCGTAAACTTGAATGAAAACAGCTTTATTACTTGTCGTTTTTGTGTGTTTACAGATACTGCCTTTGAGAATCCTTTCGCACGTGCTTTGAATGGTGTGTTTCTATGAGATGTAGTCTTCGTAGTCCTATCTCTTTTAAGGGAGCATTTCAGATTGTTTAGCCATGAAAAGTCTTTCAAAGTCGATAGTGAGTTTTTTCCTTTGCCGTCCTTATTTCCTTTAAAAATTACCTTAAATGTATGTCTGATGGCAAACAGGAATCGCCAAAACCTGCAGAAGTGATGTACTAGACTGAGGGCAGGAGAAGTTAGCATCAATCAAAGGCTGGGCTGACATCCAAGTCTAATGATTTCCTTTTAGTGTAGTGCTGTTTTCCACGTAAGTGATCAACTTGCTGTTTGTTTTCCTTTTGGTTTCATGGCCTGTGTATTGCTACATAAGATTCTTTAGCTAAAAATGTGCTGTACTTTTTCAGTGACAAGTTGCTGTAGTTCTCTTGTAGAGAGTATTTTGTAAATTACTAAAAGCAGTGTTTAACCTGAAAAATTCTTGTTTATTCTAAAGTCCTACCCTGCTGCTTGATTCAGTCATATGCAGGAAAAAGAATGACAGTTGAGTCTTAAGTACTGCCTAATAGGTGGTTTTCTTGTGCTTTATTAGCTTATTAAACTCTACCGATATTATGATATAGGTTATTTTTTATCTTCTTTTATAAAAGAGGAAACTGAGGGAGAAGGGCACATAGTAAGTGTTGACATCAAATTTCAACTCAGGCTGCCTCCAGAATTTCTGTCCTTAATAATAGTGAATTAACTCATGATTTATAAAACTACTTAAGTTGGAAAATAATGCAATCCAAAAACGAGTAATGAGGCCGTTGGTTCCATTATATCAACAATAATTTTTTTGTCAGCATTGTTAATACTTCATGAACATCTATTAGGAGTCATGCATTTTGAATGGTTTATATGTATTTACTCATTGAATCCTCAACTATTCTGTGAAGTAGATGTTCATTATTACTATTACTACTATTAAACTTGGTAGTTTAATTACTAGTACAAACAATTACTATTATTGAACTGCACAACCAAATAGGTTTTATTAGTCATCTTATTTTATAGATGAGGAGACTGAGGCACATAGAGGTTGTTTGGGTGCTACAGTTAGTAAATGGCAGAGCTAATATTCCAGTGTAGGTCATCTGGTTCTAGAATGCACATTTTTTAACTACCATGCTATGCTTTCACTCCAGTAATACTCCTTCTGTTATTACTGATGCTCTCTGGTTGGCTATAACCAGCTAAGGTAATATATTAACAAATTTTCTTTTAAGTAAAATCAATATTTTTTGCTTCAGGGTAGATGTGAATTAATAGAATTGAGAGGTCTGACCTGAACCACCTTTTCTCATTCTTTGAATTTTCATAGTACTTTATTACACAGAATTTACCATGATCAAATAAGTAATGATAAATACTTCATATTACTTTTTGATTCTTTCTCACTTTGTTTCTTAAGGATGCATCACTTGCTGTTTTGTTTTTGTAGGCTTTGCTCCTGGCACACAGTAGGCAATCAGTAAATGCTTATTGAATAGCTAACGATGATAAAAAAGTATTTTATCATATGCAAGATTATATACATATACTAAATATACTTATTAGCTCTATAACCAGGTGAATTATAAAGTATAGATTCTGAGGGCAAGTGACCAGAATGGAATCAACTGAAGAGGTCTAAGAGGGATGTGATAATTTTGTTTTGAGTAATGTATCTTCACTTTTTTCTTGTTTCTTCTTATACCCATGATGAGTGTTGGGTAGGGAAATAGCATTTAAAGAAAGATATGCCTGAGATTTGACAACAGTACATTTTCAGAAGGCATTATTAGTTCAAGGGATGAAACACTTCATTCACATAATTATGCATCATAGAACCTAAAGAGTAATTTTTAATCCATGTTCAATCCTCCCATTAAAAAAAGTATATAGCTGTTTTCATGGCCTGGCGTGGTGGCTCATGCTTGTAATCCCAGCACTTTGGGAGGCCGAGGCGGGTGGATCACCTGAGGTCAGGAGTTCAAGACCAGCCTGACCAACATGGAGAAACCCTGTCTTTACTAAAAATACAAAATTGGCCGGGTGTAGTGGCACATGCCTATAATCCCAGCTACTAGGGAGGCTGAGGCAGGAGAATCGCTTGAACCTGGGAGGTGGAGGTTGCGGTGAGCCGAGATCATGCCATTGCACTCCACCCTGGGCAACAAGAGTGAAACTCCGTCTCAAAAAAACAAAAAACAAAAAAGTGATTGCCTAGGTGACACTAGAAAATTCTAAGAAAAGTTTTCGGAGTCTCTCACTACTTGAGATTAATAAACATGTCTTTGGAGGCCAAACAATTCACTATGCAAAGGTAGAGATTCCTTTTCTTTTGGGAGAATGCAGTCTGTATGGGCATGTATTTAGAAGTACTTAACAGAGGAAGAGCTAGCTTAAGTTCCTTAATGAGAAGCATTTGGCTTTAGGAAATCCTAAGTTTTGTGAGGAGCCTAGAAAATGACTTTGACATTCATTTGCTATGGTTATTTTCTTTGACTTTTCACATGTATTTCCCTTTAAAAGAAGTCATTGTTAGTCTAGGAGATTTGAGTACCGATAATGCCTGTGAAGTGGCTGAGGGGGAAGGTTGGAGTCAGGAGTTTCTTAGAGAGGTAAAAGGATCATAATATGTGTAGGCTAAAATAGAATTCCTCCCACCCCCCAGTAAAAAATCTGGGACTAGTGTTGGGAGAGATAAAGGGGTAGATAATGAGGAATTTCTGCCCTCGGTGTCCATTGGCATACTCTGTACTGTAGTTACCCAGAGTTGTTTCCTGCCAGGCACCTAGTGCTTTCAATAGATGAAGTTGCAATTTACCATAATATAATAATCAAATTGATAAGAAAAAACAGTGATAGGAAGATATTGAAATACAGACCAGGTTTAAGGATTAACCACTTATATGGTATTATTCTAATATTAATTGTATATTATTGTTCCATGATGGCATCTTAAAGCCTTAGTGATTTTTTTTTTTTGTAACAGAGTTTCACTCTTGTTGCCCAGGCTGGAGTGCAGTGGCTCAATCTCTGCCTCCCGGGTTCAAGCAATTCCCCTGCCTCAGCCTCCTGAGTAGTTGGGATTACAGGCATGTGCCACCAAGCTTGGCTAATTTTGTATTTTTAGTAGAGATGGGGTTTCTGCACTTTGGTCAGACTGCTCTCGAACTCCCCAACTCAGGTAGTCTGCCCATCTAGTCCTCCTAAAGTGTTGGGATTACAGGCATTAGCCACCATGCCCAGCTGGGTTTTTTTTTTTTTTTTAAGAAAAATTTTCTCAGGACCACCAGGCAAGTATTTAGGGTGTGTTTGTTTTGAGACAAACAAGTATTTAGGGTTTGTTTGTTTTGTTTGTTTTGAGTCTCCCTCTGTTGCTAAGGCTGGAGTGCAGTGGCATGATCTTGGCTCACTGCGACCTTCGCCTCCCCGGTTCAAGCGATTCTTCTGCCTCAGCCTCCCAAGTAGCTAGGACTACAAGCGCGTGCCACCACTCCTGGCTAATTTTTTTTTGTATTTTTAGTAGACACGAAGTTTCAACATACTGGCCTGCCTGGTCGCAAACTCCTGACCTCGTGATCTGCCTGCCTCGACTTCCCAAAGTGCTGGGATTACAGGTGTGAACCACCGTGCCTGGCTGTATCTAGTTATTTTAAAAATATGTGCTGGCCAGGCACCGGCACATACAAAAATTAGCTGCGCATGGTGGCAGGCGCCTGTAATCCCAGCTTTACTGGGGAGGCTGAGGCAGAGAATTGCTTGAACCCGGGCGGAGGTGGGGGTGGGGGCGGGGGCCAGCCAAGATTGCACCACTGCACTCCAGCCTGGGCAGAAGGAAAATGTAAGGCAATATAAAATGATATCTTAGAGATATTGACAAGCTGGAGCAGCAAAACTACCGAAGTGCTAGGGCATCATTTAGAGTATAAAAATGAGCTTATATCCCGCATTTCAAACACTCTGTAAACGCTCAATTACTTTCCTCTAAGTTGAAACCACCAATTACTGGGGAAAGGGGCAGTTAGATTTTATTGGTTGACTTTGTGTTTTCATTAATCCTTGTTGAAAAGTACGAGAGTTGGTTTAGTTGAGAAAACAAAATACTGAAAAATCTGCCACTAAACTCAGAAGTTTGTCTAGACTGTATAAAATGAAAGGTATCTACTGTGTAATCTATGAAAGTATTTTTAATTCTAAAGTTAAGTGTGATTTTTAGTGCTGTTGCTGAGGCCAATGTTGCTTAATTCAGGAACTTCTACAGTAATTGACAAAACTTGAGTTCTTCTGCTCTCATTTATCTATCCTTCAGACCCCTCAGATGTTATCTATTTCCTGAAATCTGACTTCTCTGATCTTAGTGATTCTTAGACTTTTCCAGGATTTAGATAGTACTGTACAGTTTGCTGCTATGTCTATCTGTCTTTAATACTTGTTTTCAGATATATTAATGCCTCATTTGTAGTATAAATCAGACTGTCTTCTACCAGTTATGTAATTTATATAATTGTTGCAGTACATGTTTGTTGATTTACTAGGCTGGATTGATGTTACAGAATTGGTAATCTTGGTTGGGCATGGTGGCACATGCCTATAATACCAGTACTTTAGGAGGACAAGGGAGATGAATCTCTTGAGTTTAGGAGTTGGAGACCTGCCTTAGCAATAAAGCGAAACCCTGCCTCTACAAAAAAAAAATACAAAAATTAACAGGGCATGGTGACATCCGCCTAGAGTCCCAGCTACTTTGGAGGCTGAGGTGGGAGGGTCCTTTGATCCTGGGATTTCAAGGCTTCAGTAAGCTGCAATTGCACCATTTACAGCATGAGACCCTGCCTTAAAAAATGGGGTGCGGGTGTTAATCTTGGCTAGATGTCTGTTTTGATTGTTAGGATGAATTGTGTTCATAGTATTTTTCTAAAATGTTCTATCCAGATAAACTTGTTTATTAATCTCAAACAGGGAGAGACTCTGAAAACTTGTCTTAGAATTTCCTAGTGTCACCTAGGCAGTTACTTTTTATGAGGGTCAAGTGCAAAATTAATCAAAAATTTCCCTTCTCTGTACGTAACAAGGTAATGTAATAACATGGAACCACAACATCAGTGTTTTAGCAAATTACATACTTAAGACTGAAAATGGCTACATATATTTTTTTTTTGAAATGGCGCCTCTTTCACCCAGGCTGGAGTGCTGTGGTATTATCTCAGCTCACTGCAACATCGGCTTCCCAGGTTTAAGCAATTCTCCTGCCTCAGCCTCCTGAGTAGCTGGGACTACAGGCATGTGCCACCACGTCCAGCTAATTTTTATATTTTTAGTAGAGATGGGGTTTCACCATTTTGGCCAGACTGGTCTCAAGCTACTAACTTCAGGTGATCCACACTCTTCGGCCTCCCAAAGTGCCGGGATTACAGGTGTGAGCCACCGTGCCTCGCCCCAATTTTTTTTTTTTTTAATTGATATAGAGTTTTGCTCTTGTTTGGAGTGCAATGGTGTGATCTCGGCTCACTGCAACCTCTGCCCCCTCCCCGGGTTCAAGTGATTCTCCTACCTCAGCCTCCCAAATAGCTGGGATTACAGGCATGCGCCACACTACGCCTGGCTAATTTTGTATTTTTAGTCGGGACGGAGTTTCTCCATGTTGGTCCGACTGGTCTCGAACTCTCGACCTCAGGTGATCCTACCGCTTTGGCCTCCCAAAGTGCTGGGATTACAGGTGTGAGCTAGTGAGCCACCACACCCGGCCTTCAATTGTTTTTTAAATAGACCTTCCAACTCAGTAGATGCCAGAAACCATGTGTTCAATATTTGAAATTACAATATTTTGATATACAAACTGCATCTATCAGATTGCCTGTTGAACCCAAAAACTTTTCTTTTTAACAGTTATTCCAGTTTTTGGTTTGAAAAAGTGTTTGAGCCGGGTGCGGTGGCGCAAGCCTGTAATCCCAGCACTTTGGGAGGCCGAGACGGGCGGATCACGAGGTCAGGAGATCAAGACCATCCTGGCTAACACAGTGAAACCCCGTCTGTACTAAAAAATACAAAAAACTAGCCGGGCGAGGTGGCGGGCGCCTGTAGTCCCAGCTACTCGGGAGGCTGAGGCAGGAGAATGGCGTAAATCTGGGAGGCGGAGCTTGCAGTGAGCTGAGATCTGGCCACTGCACTCCCGCCTGGGCGACAGAGCGAGACTCCGCCTCAAAAAAAAAAAAAAGTGGTTTAAAAAATGTTACTTTAGCCATTTTTATTAAACTTTATGCCAAAAAAAATCAATGTATGTCAGAAAGTGTTCGTAATTATGGAAGTTTTCTCTTTGGATAGGCTCGCATGTCTTGGGATAGAGAGTCGACAGAAATTCGGTACCGTAGACTTCAACATTTGCTTGAAAAAAGCAATATCTACTCCAAATTTTTGTTGACGAAAATGGAACAGCAACAATTAGAGGTATGTATATGTAACTGACTACAAGTGAAAGCTTAAAAAAATTTAAAAATAGCTTTATTGAAGTGTACATTATATACACTAAAATATACAGATTTTAAGTGTACAGTTTGCTGAGTTTGACTAGTAAATATATAGATCTGTGTAACCACCAGCACAATCAAGACAGTGCATTTCTATGAACTCCAAAAAATTGTCTTGTGCTGGCAGTGATCCCAATGGCTGGTGTCCAGCAACCACAGTGCTTTCTGTCACTATAGACCAGTATTGTTTTTTCCTAGAAAATTGTATAAATGAAATCATGGTATTGTGCTTTTGTGAGTAAATAGTTGGTCTTCATCACCATTTCCTGGTATACAACTCTTGAAATCCTTGGCATCTTCAACGTCGTGTTTTTTTTTTTTTTAAATGCTAATGATCAGTGGCTAGCAGCCCTTAGGTAGCTTTGGGATGGGAGCCTAAGAAAGACAAAGCCTGGATTAGAGGGTTGGGATTTAGCCTCACCCTCAACTTTGAGGGAAAAAAGGGGGACTGAAAGTTAAGTTGTTCACCAGTGGTCATGATTGAATCAATCATGTCTATGTTATGAAGCCTTCATTAAAAACCCGAAAGGCCTGGGCGTGGCTCATGTCTGTAATCCCAGCACTTTGTGAAGCCTAGGTGGGTGGATTGCTTGAGCCCGGAAGTTTGAGACCAGCCTGGGTAACATGACAAAACCCTATCTCTGATAGACAGATTAGCTAGGTAAGGTGGCATGTGCCTCTAGTCCCAGCTACTTGGGAGGCTGAGGCAGGAGGAGGCTTGAGCCAAGGAGATTGAGGCTGCAGTGAGCTGTGATGGCACCACTGCATTCTAGCCTGGGTGACAAAGCAAGACCCTGTCTCAAAAATAAAACACAGCAGGCTGGGGGCCGTGGCTTACGCCTGTGATCCCAGCACTTTGGGAGGCCACGGTGGGAGGATCACTTGAGCCCAGGAGTTCGACACCAGCCTGAGTAACGTAGTGAAGACCCATCTCTGCCAAAAATATGAAAATTAGCCGGTCATGGTGGTGTGTGCTGTGACCCCAGCTACTTGGGAGGCTGAGGCAGGAGGATCGCTTGACCTGGGAGGCAGAGGTTGCAGTGAGCCGAGATTGCACCACTGGAGCACACCATTATGTCTGTCTTATTTTTGTATTTTTTGTAGAGACACAGTTTTGCCATGTTGCCAAGGCTTGTCTAGAACTCCTGGGCTCAAGTGGTCTGCTTACCCTGGCCTCCCAAAGTGCTGGGATTACAGGTGTGAGCCACTGCTCCCGGACTATCATATTCTTTATAATAAACCAATAAACTTGTGTTTCTTTGAGTTCTGTAAGCTCCTCTAGCAAATTAGTCAAACCCAAAGAGGGGCTTGTGGGAACCCTGATTTATAGCTGTTCAGTCAGAAGCACAGGTAAAGTGACTTGGGCCTTGTGATTGGCATCTGGAACTGGTAGGTAAAGTCTTGGGGACTGAACCCTCAACCTATGGGGTATGGTGCTGTCACCCGGTAGATAGTGTCAGAATTTAATTACAATAGAGGACACCTAGCCGGTGTCACTGCAGAAATGCTTTTTGGTGTATAGGGAAACCCCCCGCACATTGGGTCACAGAAGTCTTTTGTGTTGATTGTTGAGTGTGTAGGGAGAAACTGAGTTTGTTTTTTTCTCTATATTCTTGGACATATGCACTCTTTGTCTTGTTACTTTTGCTCAGTGTATTTTTGAGATTAATTCATGTCATGTTTTTCTGTAGGTTATTCTTTTTATTCCTGAGAAGGATTCCATTAAGAAATGTCGTTATTGGGGTGTAATTGACATAGACTAAACTGCACATATTTAAAATGTACAATTCCCTAAGTTTTGATATAGGGATATACTTGTGAAGACATAACAATCATGATAGTGGACATACCCACTGATTCCAAAGAATTCTTTCGGCTCATTTATAAGTCTTCTTCCTCATCCCTATCCCGTGTTCTATCCACAGATAGCCAATTGATCGGTTTTCTGTTATTATAGGTTCATTTGCATTTTCTGTTGGTGATGTGTTCTTTTAGCTTTCATATGTCTGAATGTCTTCACTTACCTTCATTTTTGAAATACATTTTTACTGGGTAAAGAATTGTTTTTCTTTAGTACTTTATTTCTTAGAGTACTTTAAAGATGTTTCACTGTCTCCTAGCTTATGTTGTTTCTGAAAAGTGAAAGTCCTGATAATATCTATATGTCTGTAAGCAATTTGACTGCCTCCCTCAATCCCATTACCTTTCAGACCTGTCTCCAGATGTGTTTCCTGTTTTGGGCTTTTGCCCATGCTATTTTATGCCTGGAACCTTCTTCTTCTAAGTAACTGCATGGCTTAACTTCATCTTCAAGCCTTGACTTAAATGGTTTCTAGATGAGACCTACCCTCACAATTTTAAGAAAGTTGCTGACCCACCTGATTCTCTTTACCTTGTTCTGTTCTTCCCATTGCACTTTTCATCTGATGTACATCATTTTTTGTATTTATTGTTTGTCTTTCCACTAGACTGTTACGAAGATTTAAAAACTTGTGCAAATTGAGAGAATACAGTAAGTCCCTGTGTTCCCATCACCCACATTTACCAATTATCAGTTTAAATGTTGCTGTGTTTATAAAATCTCCTTTTTCCTTTGTTTGAAACCCTTTTATTGCTTTTTTATGGTAAAGTAAAACAAATGGAAAAACAAATATTCAACTTAATGAGTTACACAGCATCTGCCCCTTTCATCACCTCTTGGAAATGGTTTGAATTTTTGGTGTCTTTTAAACATTTGTAAGAGTATGTCTAGAATAGCTTTTAGTCTAGGAATAAGTTGATCCCTTTCTTGAGCACTCTACTTGATGCCCTTTATATTAAGAGGACTTTCCACTTTGGCTGAGAGAATATACCTTATTATGCCTGACCCCTTGGAACATGAACGGTTCCACCTACTTCTTTCTGGTGACTTTTCTCCTGGCCTTGGTTACCATGCACTTACCAGTAGTCAGCCCGAGAGAGAGGTAACAGCTGCCTTTGTGCAGCTCTGTCCTCTCTGGTACTTGACCCTGGGAATGCTACTGCTCTTAAGTTTTGGGTTCTGTCTCCTCAACACAAAGAGACTGTTGGGCTCTGGAGTTTTCTCCATTATTTGTACTTTAAAATTGTATCAGGCAGTAAGCTGGGCAGTCAGAAGATTAACCTTGTTTCCCTTTTGTCAATGTTTACAGTTCGTTACTGCATGTTGTCTGAAACCACTGTTTAATAAATTTTATCTGGATTTTAGTTTAAGGCAGGATGGTAAATCTGTCCCATTAGTCCATAAAGGCTTGTTGAAGTACAAGTTCCTCCCTGTTTTATAATTATGATGGACCTTAGTTTCTCATTGTAAACCTAAGTTATTTGATAATTGATATGCGTGTTTTTTTTTTTAATGTTGCACTTCCCACTTGTGACATAAGAAAAAATTATCTTACAGGAACAGAAGAAGAAAGAAAAATTGGAGAGAAAAAAGGAGTCTTTAAAAGTTAAAAAGGTAATATAACCAGCCAGAATATTTTTATGTCTTTTAAATACTTTTGTATTCTTCTGACTTTTTTGATCATCTGTTTAACTTTTTTTTTTTTTTTTTTTTTTTTTTTTGAGATGGAGTCTCGTTCTGTCACCTCAGCTCACTGCAAGCTCCGCCTCCCGGGTTCACGCCATTCTCCCATCTCAGCCTCCCAAGTAGCTGGGACTACAGGCACCCGCCACCACGCCTGGCTAATTTTTTGTATTTTTAGTAGAGATGGGGTTTCACCGTGTTGGCCAGGATGGTCTTGATCTCCTGACCTCATGATCCACCCGCCTCGGCCTCCCAAAGTGCTGGGATTACAGGCGTGAGCCACCACGCCCAGCCTGTTTTCTCTTACTCTCACTACAGTTCTTATTAGGTAGAGGTACTTTTCTCCCCCATTTTACATAAATAGGCTGATGCAAGGAGATAAAGAACAGTCATTCTTCATTATTCAAGGATTCTATGTTTGTGAATTTGCCAACTCACTTAAATTTATTTGTAACCCCAGAGTCAAGATTCCTAACACCATCATGGTCATTTTTGGACATGCTTATGTTCAGAGCAGCAAATAATTTTAGTCTTCCAATACATATGTTCCAAGCTCAGCTCAAATATGGGTTGCTACTGTATGTATGTCAAGCATATGTCCTCATGGTCTTCATTTAGCACCATGATTTTTGCATTTTTGTGTGCTTTTTCCTGGTGATTTTGCGGTTAAAATGGCCCCCAAGTGTACCAAAGTGCTGCTAGTGTTTCTAAGTACAAAAAAGCTGTGCCATATGGAGAAAGTGTGTCTTGGGTAAGCTTCATTTAGGTATGAGGTACAGTGCTGTTGGCCATGAGTTCAATTTTTATTTTATTTTATTTTTATTTTTATTTTTATTTTTATTTTTATTTTTATTTTTATTTTTTTGAGACAGAGTCTTGCTCTGTCGCCCAGGCTGGAGTGCAGTGGTGCAGTCTCAGCTCACTGCTACCTCCACCTCCTGGGTTCAAGCAGTTCTTCTGCCTCAGCCACCCGAGCAGCTGGGACTACAGGTGCGTGCCACCATGCCTGGCTAATTTTTGTATTTTTAGTAGAGACGGGGTTTCACCATATTGGACAGGCAGGTTTTGAACTCCTGACCTCGTGATCTGCCCACCTCGGCCTTCCAAAGTGCTGGGATTACAGGCGTGAGCCACTGTGCTTGGCCGGCCCTGAGTTCAGTATTAATCAACATAAATAAGATATCTTTAAAAACAGAAACACAAAGAAAACAGGGTTGTGTATTGTTGGTTGAAAATGTTATAACCAGAGTCAGGGACCCAATTGTATTTTTCCTAGGGGCAATAAGTCATTAGTCATAGTGATTTTATTGAACCACAAGTACTGCAGATAATGAGAGCTGACTCTCATTATCTGAAATGAGAATTGCTGAAAATTATGGATTTGAACCCAGGATTAGTTTAAGAACTTCTACTTAGCTTCTATGCTAAACTGCCTTTATTTTTATTTATTTATTTTTTTGAGATGTAGTCTCGCTCTGTCACCTAGGCTGGAATGCAGTGGCGTGATTTCGGCTCACTGCAACCCGTCGCCTCCTGAGTTCAAGCAATTTTTGCCTCAGCCTCCCAAGTAGCTGGGATTACAGGCGCCTGCCGCCACACCTGGCTAATTTTTGTATTTTTAGTAGAGACAGGGTTTCACCATCTTGACCAGGTTGGTCTTCAACTCCTGACCTCATGATCCTCTTGCCTTGGCCTCCCAAAGTACTGAGATTAAGTCCAGTTATTTGATTCTTAGGCTAGTTAATGGTGATGTTAAAATGCCTGATAAAGTATTTTGCAGACTATTTTGCAACAAAACCCATTATTTAAAACTGGTAATACTGCTAGGTGTGGTGGCTCACGCCTATCCCAGCACTTTGGAAGTCTGAGGCAGATGGATTCCTTGAGGCCAGGAGTTCGAGACCAGCCTGGTCAACATGGTGAGACCCTGTCTCTGCTAAAAATACAAAAAATTAGCTGGGCGTGGTGATATGTGCCTGTAGTCCCAGCTACTTGGGAGGCTGAGGCACGAGTATCACTTGAACACGGTTGGCAGAGGTTGCAGTGAGCCAAGACTGTGTCACTGTACTCTAGTCTGGGCCATAGAGGGAGACTCTGTTCCTAAATAAATAAATAAAACTGGTAATACTGAGTTTACTGAGAGAGAGTATTAAAAAAATAAAAATGGGCTGGACATGATGGCTCATATCTGTAATCCCGGATCACCTGAGGTCAAGAGCTGGCGACCAACCTGGCCAACATGGTGAAACCCAGTCTCTACCAAAAACACAAAAATTAGACGGATGTGATGGCAGGTACCTGTAATCCCAGCTACTTGGGAGGCTGACAGGAGAATCACTTGAACCTGGGAGGCAGAGGTTGCAGTGAGCTGAGCTCATGCTACTGGACTCCAGCCTGGGTGACAGAGCAAGACACCATCTCTAAAAAAACAAAAAACAAAAAAACCGCTGATTCTTGACTCACTTGCTAATTTCAGAGACCTAGAGCTTTTCAGATTTTTATTTTCATAGAGACAGGGCTTCACTATGTTGCCCAGGCTGGTCTCGAACTCCTGGGCTCAAGCTGTCCCCCACACCCACACCTTGGCTCCCAAAGTGCTGGGATTACAGGCATGAGCTAGCACAACTGGCCTTACCTAGGGGTTTTGAACAACATGTTTTTATTTATATGATAATTTTACTGGCTTAGTCATTTATTCCCTGCTCTTGAACCTGTTAATTTTAATATATCCTTCACTTTATTCCACCTAGCTGTTTATATCAGGGTTTTGATTTTTTTCCCCTCTGCTTTTTTCTTAAAGGTGTCAACTGTTCTGCCTACTCTAATGGCACCAGTCCTTTTTCGGTATTTTCTTGTTTAATCTTCAGGCTTTGTAACTTAATTTAAAAATTCATTATATATATATTTTTGTCATTTTATCATATGTATTGTTCACCTATTCTTGATATAATAGTTTCCCAACTCTTATTTTGAAACTTAAAAAAATTTTTAGAGGCGATGTCTCAGTAGCCCAGGCTAGAGTTCAGTAGCACCATAGTAGTTCACTACAGCTTTGAACTCCTGGGGTCAAGCCATCTTCCCACCTCAGCCTCCTGAGTAGCTGAAACTACAGGTGCACACCACCATGTTCAGCTAATTTTTACATTTTTTAAAGAGATGGGGATCTTGCTTTGTTGCCCAAGCTGGTCTTGCACTCCTGACTTCAAGCAGTCTACTACCTAGTCCTTCTAAAATGCTGGGATTATAGGCGTGAGCCTCTGCACCTGGCCAGAAACTGTTTCTTAACATCTCATTTCCCTTACCTTCCTCACTAATAATTTTCAGTTAGTATTCTCTTTTATTTCTGCTTTGGGTTATATTTAATGTATGAATTTCATTCACAATGAATATTCCTTCAATTCCCTACCTATTGAATATCTTTAGCGTAATGTTTAAAGATGTACATGGTATTTCTAAATAAAAATGCCAACTGTGGGCTGAGCACCGTGCCTCACGCCTGTAATCACAGCGCTTTAGGAGGCCTAGGTGGGTGGATCACCTAAGATCAGGAATTCAAGAGTAGCCTGGCCAAAATGGTGAAACCCCATCTCTACTAAAAGTACAAAAATTACCCGGGTATGGTGGCAGGTGCCTGTAATCCCAGCTACTCGGGAGGTTAAGGCAGGGGAATCTCTTGAACCTGGGAGGCAGAGGTTGCAGTGAGCTGAGATTGTACCATTGCACACTAGCCCGGGCAACAAGAGTGAAACTTCGTCTCCAAAAACAAATGAAATGCCAGCTGTGTTTAATTTTGAAATTTCTCTTCTAAATGGAAAAATAATGGACAGAAGTAGAACCGTTGGGAAAAAGCAGAGATTATGAACAAGTTGTAGTAGGGAAATACAGAAAATACTACATGTAGGTAAGTATAATAGTGAAAAATTATATGTGGATGTGGCTCAACTGCAAGAAACATTTTTTTCCTCAAGTTAATCAGTGCCTTTTAATGTATAATACTATAAAGTTCATTAGTAAAATCAATATTCTGAATCCTTGTTTTGTAGGGTAAAAATTCAATCGATGCAAGCGAAGAGAAGCCAGGTAAACATCCTTATTCTAGTTTTGAATAATATATGTTTATATTTCTATTTTAATTTCTATCAAAAATAAAATTTTTTTTTTATAGTTATGAGGAAAAAAAGAGGAAGAGAAGATGAATCATACAATATTTCAGAGGTCATGTCAAAAGAGGTAAAAATAAAAGGGAGAGGGTACCTAACATTTGATGTTGAGTAAAATGTAGGTTTTAAACCACCTTAAAGCTGTAAGGATTGAATATTCAATATCACATCAAATATGTTTTTAATTTAATATTATATATCATTTATAGATGAAGTTGCCAAAATGTTTGAAGCTATCTACCAACCTACAGTAGACTTGAGACTAATCTGAAACTAATGTCATCTGACCTTCATAGACTTTTTTTTTTTTTTTTTGAGGCGGAGCTCTGTGGTCCATGCTGCTTTGGCTCACTGCAACCTCCACCTCACGGGTTCAAGCGATTCTCTTGTCCCAGCCTCCCAAGTAGCTGGGATAACAGGCGCCCACCACCATGCCTGGCTAATTTTTGTATTTTTAGAAGAGATGGGGTTTCACCATGTTGGCCAGGCTGGTCTTGAACTCCTGACTTAAGGTGATCTGCCCACCTCGGTCTCCTAAAATGCCGGATTACAGGCGTGAGCTGTTGCGCACGTCCTCACTTAAGTGGCAAATAGATTTACACCTTTAGGTTGTTCTGGTTTTCTTTTCTTTCCTTCTTTTGTTTCCTTCCATCCTTCATTTCTAGGCTCCTTCTTTTTTTTTTCTTCTTTTCTTTTTTTGAGACAGGGTATCACTCTGAGACTCAGGCTGGAGTGCAGTGGCACAATCATGGCTCACTGCAGCGTCAACCTCATGGGCTCAAGTGATCCTTCTACCTCAGCCCCCTGAGTAGCTGGGACTACAGGTGTGTGACACCATGCACAGCTGGCTAATTTTTAAATTTTTTGTAGCGATGAGGTCTCATGTTGCCTAGGCTGCTCTTGAACTCCTGGGTTCAAACGATCCTCTTGCTTTAGCCCCCCAAACTGCTGAAGAGTACACGTGTGAGCCAGTGTGCCCAGCTTTATGCTGGTTTTCTTTTTTTGGTGGGGGGGTCGGGGGTGAGACAGATTTACTGTTGTTGCCCAGGCTGGAGTGCAATGGTGCAGTCTTAGCTCACCACATCCTCCGCCTCCCAGGTTCAAGCGTTTCTCCTGCCTCAGCCTCCTGAGTAGCTGGGATTACACCACACCTGGCTAATTTTGTATTTTTAGTAGAGATGGGGTTTCACCGTGTTGCCCAGACTGATCTTGAACTCCTGACCTCAGGTGGTCTGCCTGCCTCGGCCTCCCAAAGTGCTGGGATTACAGTCATGAGCCACTGCTCCCGGCCTATGCTGGTTGCTTTATTTGGGTTATTATAGAAAACAGTAATAGCTTTGACTCTACCAGTTATCTTGTGGTTGTAAAGTACCTAGTAGACTTGTATTTTGCAAGGAACTGTGGAAACAACAGGCGTGGGCATACAGCTTAAAATTACATGTAGTATGTTGTGGAGAGGTGGGGGGAAAGGGTAGGGTAGTAAAGACACTGACCAGAGCAGAGAAGTGTTTTAGGGAAAAAGATGGTATCTTGTTAAAGGAGTCTGAGCCTGGCCTAGTCAGAAATTGTTACTATAATTTAACTTTTTGTAACCCCTAACCTTGTCTTAAGAACTTTATTCTTGTTCTTTGTTGAAGACTTTTACGAAACTGAAATCATATGCTCATTTCTAAAACCAACTTCTTTTTTTCATTTCTCACTTTTTGCTTCAAAGTATGAATGAATTAGAGCATCTTCAGTTCTGACGAACCAATTCCTTAGCATGTTTTTAATGTGTCACATTCTCTTTTTTTCTTGGAGACAGAGTCTTGCTCTGTCCCCAGGCTGGAGTGCAGTGGCACACACGATCTAGGCTCACTGCTGCAAACTCCACCTCCCAGATTCAAGCAATTCTTATGCCTCAGCCTCTGAGAAGCTGGGATTACAGGCGCCTATTTGTATTTTTAGTAGGGACAGGATTTTGCCATGTTGGCCAGAATGGTCTTGAACTACTGACCTCAGGTGATCCTCATGCCTTCGTCTCCCAAAGTGCTGGGATTACAGGCGTGAGGCACCACTCCCGGCCACATTCTTATATTTAATAAAAAGCACAACTCTATTGTCTACTGTTGTTCTTTTACCTGAAGTTCAGACTTTTTAGCTCGTCATAAGAAAAATTTACATAATACTTTTCTTTTAGGGATGCAGCGATAGTTTTTCATTGAAAAATAATTGTCAGGGGGCTGGGAGCAGTGGCTCACGCCTGTAATCCCGGCACTTTGGGAGACTGAGGCGGGTGGATCACGTGAGGCTAGGAGTTCGAAACCTGTCTGGCCAACATGGTGAAACTCCATCTCTACTGAAAATACAAAAATTAACTGGGAATGGTGGCTCGCGCCTGTAGTCCTAGCTACTCAGAAGGCTGAGGCAGGAGAATTGCTTGAACCTGGGAGGCAGAGGTTGCAGTGAGCTGAGATCGTGCCACTGCACTCCAGCCTGGGCAACGGAGCAAGACTCTGTCTCAAAAAAAAAAAAAAACAAGTTAGGGCCCACTGAAATTGATTATGGTATCCATTCAACTTGCAGTTTAAAACACTTTTAGGTTGGGCGCAGTGGCTCATGCCTGTAACCCCAGCACTTTGGGAGGCCAAGGTGGGAGAATCACCTGAGGTCAAGAGTTCCAGGCCAGCCTGACCAACATGGAGAAACCCCATCTCTACTAAAAATACAAAATTAGCCGGGTGTAGTGGCACATGCCTGTAATCCCAGCTACTCGGGCAGACTGAGGCAGGAGAACAGCTTGAACTGAGGAGGCGGAGGTTGCGGTGAGCCAAAATGGCACCATTGCACTCCAGCCTGGGCAACAAGAGTGAAACTCCGACTCAAAAAAGAAAAACCACTTTTAATATGCCGTACTGAAGTTTAGCCAGTCATACAGCTCTTTATTTAATTTGTTAAATGGTTGTGGAATATTGGTTTGGAGCAAACTTTGTCATAGGTGGATGAAATCCATTAGTAAAGAAAGGTAAACGCTGTCTTCACCTTAGCCTACATACAGAGAGATATATAGGAGTAAGTAGTAAATGAAATTGGATTTTTTTTTTTTTTCCTTGAGACAATGTTTCTATTACCCTGGCTTGAATGCAGCTGACACAATCTCAGCTCACTGCAGCCTCAACCTCCCACACTCAAGTGATCTTCCTATCTCAAACTCCCCAGTAGCAGGGACTCTGTGCATGTGCCACCAGGCCTGGCTGAGTTTTGTATTTTTTGTAAAGATGGGGTTTTGTCATGTTGTCTACGCTGATCTTGAATTTGTGGGCTCCTGCCTCGGCCTCCCAAAGTGCTTAGATTACAGGTCTGAGCCACTGTGCCCGGTTGGTAATTGGATGTTTATATACCGTATTAGAGGGTCTCTTCACTCAGGCATGCAGTTCCTGAACGTTTTCATCTAGGAAAAGGAAATGATATCTATGTTGTGACTTGAAGGATAAAAGTTAAATTATTTAAAGGTGGGATTAATAGGGAAAGAGTAAATTACAGGGAAGATAGTAGGGGGGCGTGTTTTAGGAAGAAATTAAAGCATTGAACAAATATTCAGGGTCAAGAGAGACTGGCAGTTTAAAAAAACTTGAAGGAAATTATATTTGCCTCCAATTTTTATATAAGTGAAAAGAGTGATGAAGGAAGGATGAAGCTGTAGATGTAAGCATGGTCAGGAGTTTAAGGCTGCCCTAAGTAAAGTAGGAAGCTATCGAAAGGTTTTTAAGCAATTTTCATTTTCGTGAATCACTTGGCTAGTGTGTTCAGAGATCTGTGGGCATATCAGTTTTTCTTTCTTTCCTTTTCTTTTTCTTTTTTTTTTTTTTGAGACAAGGTTTCACTGTGTGGCCCAGGCTGGAGTGCAGTGGCGCGATCTCAGCTCACTGCAACCTCCGTCTCCCAGTTTAAGCAATTCTGTCACCTCGGCTCCCTGAGTAGTCCAGCACCTGGAACTACAGGCACGTGCCACAACGCCTGGCTAAGTTTTTGTGTTTTTTGGTAGAGAGGTGATTTTACCATGTTGGCCAGGCTGGTCTCAAAGTCCTCACCCAAAGTGATCTGCCTGCCTCTGCCTTCCAAAGTGCTGAGATTACAGGTGTGAGCCACCATGCCTGGCCCTATACCAGTTATTCTTTCATTTACTTTTATTTCTTCTGTGTATTTACTGAATTTCCTGCTCTCTTTTCCTCTTTGCCTAAATTCTTTTCATTGTTTGCATCTCACGTTACTTGCTGAAGAATCTCTAAATCTACGAATACATTTGGAGATAGATGTGTTACCCCTATTGAATGTTCTGTCACTGTGAACCCTGCTCCTCCAAATTATCCCATCTATTTATTCACCTTTTCCTTCTTCACTGGGGTGTTTTTGTGTCTGCAGAACAAAAATTTTTGAACCCGTCTTTCTAGATTGCCCTGTTTTCTATTCTTTATTTCCAAGTTTTTTTTTTTGAGACAGAGTTTCGCTCTTGTTGCCCAGGCTGGAGTGCTATGGCACCGAATTGGCTCATTGCATCCTCCGCCTCCCAGGTTCAAGCGATTCTCCTGCCTCAGCCTTCCCGAGTAGCTAGGATTACAGGCATGTGCCACCACGCCTGGCAAATTTTGTATTTTTAGTAGAGACCGGGTTTCTCCATGTTGGTCAAGCTGGTCTCGAACTCCCGATCTCAGGTGATCCACCCACCTTGGCCTCCCAAAGTGCTGGGATTACAGGCGTGAGCCACTGCACCACCCTATTTCTAAACTTTTTAAGAGTAGGCTGGACTGGACATGATGCCTGACACCTGTTATACCAGCACTTTGGGAGACCAAGGTGGGAGGATCACTTAAGCCCAGGAGTTTGAGACTAGTTTGGGCAACATGGTGAAATCCTGTCTCTACAAAAAAAAAGAAATTAGCCAGGCATGGTGGTGTACAGCTTTGGTCCCAACTACACAGGAGGCTGAGGTAAGAGGATCACCTGAGCCTGGGGAGGTCAAGGCTGCAGTGAGGTGAGAATGTGCTACTGCACTGCAGCATGGGCAAGAGAATGAGATCCTGTTTTTTTTTGTTTTTTTTTGGAGACAGAGTCTTGCTCTGTTGCCAGGCTGGAGTGCGGTGCTGCAATCTTGACTCGCTACAGCTCAACTCCACCTCAAGCGATTCTCCTGCCTCAGCATCCCGAGTAGCTGGGACTACAGGTGTGTGCCACCACACCCAGCTTATTTTTGTAGTTTTAGTAGAGATGGGGTTTCACCATTTTGGCCAGGATGGTCTCAATCTCTTGACCTCATGATCCGCCTGCCTCAGCCTCCCAAAGGGCTGAGATTATAGGTGTGAGTCACTGTGTCCGGCCCTTTTTTTTTTTTTTTTTTTTTTTTAAGAGTAGTCTGTACGTATTTCCTTACACATTGTGCGGTTGAGCAGTTTTACGTCTGTCAGTTGAATTTATTGGGATCTTTGAAATTGATAATGTAGCCCAAAGCAAACAATTTATCTTTTCCTCTCTTTCTTCCCAATCTTGCTCTTTTGTTTTCTCTTTGATGTTAATGTCAGAACCAATATCTACTGTGTCATTCAAAACAGAATTTAGGAGGTTATCTGAATTTCTTTATATATCTAGATTTTTATCAGTTTCTGTCAGTCATTTCATTCGCTGCTACTCTGGTGTTTATGTCCTTACTCTGCCCTATTGTTAGTAGTTTCTTAATTGATGTTTATAATCCTAGTATAGCTCTCATTCATTGTCAAGAGTACCAGATTGGTTTTTCTGAAGCAAATTTAATCACTCATAACCTCCATTACTTTTTATGGTTTCACAAGGAATTGCATTTTCTTGTAGAAAAATTTGAGACTAAACAAAATACAAGAAAAATCACCTGAAAAGCTGTCAAACAGATAATCACTAATGTTTTCGTATATGTATATTCTTTTTCTTTGTATTATGGAAAATCTGAAAAATTACAAATATTTAGAGGATAGTAAATTGAATGTCCACCTTTATCACTTTTTTTTTGAGATGGAGTTTCTCCCTTCTTGCCCAGGTTGGAGTGCAATGGCATGATCTCGGCTCACTGCAACCTCTGCCTCTCAGGTTCAAGCAATTCTCTTGCCTCAGCCTCCCGAGTAGCTGGGATTACAGGCATGTGCCATCATGCCCCGCTAATTTTATACTTTTATTAGAGACAGGGTTTCTCCATGTTGGTCAAGCTGGTCTTGAACTCCTGACCTCAGGTGATCCGCCTGTCTTGATCTTCCAAAGTGCTGAGATTATAGGCATGAGCCACCCTGCCCAGCCAATCACTTTTTAATTCTGGGATATTTTTAGAAAAAGCTGAGCAAGACCTTTTTTTTTTTTTTTTTTTTTTTTTTTAAGATGGAGTCTCACGCTGTCACCTGGGCTGGAGTGCAGTGGCGGGATCTCAGCTCATTGCAACCTTCGCCTCCTGGGTTCAAGCGAGTCTCCTGTCTCAGCCTCCCAAGTAGCTGGGATTACAAGTGCCCGTCACCACGCCCAGCTAATTTTTTGTATTTTTAGTATTGACACCATGTTGGCCAGGCTGGTCTCAAACTCCTGACCTTGTGATTTGCCCGCCCTGGCTTCCCAAAGTGCTGGGATTACAGGCGTGAGCCACCATGCCCGGCTAAAACTTTTGAACCATAACCACAATACAGTTATCACACTTTTGAAAGTCAATGGTAATTCCTTAATATTTAAATTTCTCAATAGGCTAATTTTTATTTTTAGGGATGGGGGCTTGCTGTATTGATGAGACTAGAGTGCAGTGGCTATTCCTGAGTATTGTCATAGTGACTACACCTCAAACACCTGGGCTCACATGATCCTCCTGCCTCAGTGTCCTGAGTAGCAGTACAGAGAGTATAGGCACTTCCCACTGTGATCTGCTTAGCTCATACCTTTTTAAAAAATGATTGGTTCAAATCAGGATCCAAAAAAGTTACATAAATTGCGTTTGATTAATGTGTGTCTTAGTTCTCTTTTAGATCTAGAGTGTCTCTCATCTTTTTTAAGAAACATTATTTGTTGAAGAAAATGAGTAATTCTGTATAATTCCCCACATTCTGGACTTTACTGATTGTATCCCCATGATTTCTCTGCCTCTTGTGTTTCCTGTTAACTATAGTAACTATAAGTTAAATACAGAAGTTTGTGATTAAGGTTTTTTTTAATTTTTGTTTTTTTTTTTGTCGAGGGAGGTAGGGTCTTGCTCTGTTGCCCAGGGTGGAGTGCAATGGTGCCATCTCGGCCCGTTGCAACCTCTGACTCCTGGGCTCAAGCAATCCTCCCACCTCATCCTCCTGAGTAGCTGGGACTACAGGTGTACACCACCAAGCCCAGCCAACTTTTATATTTTTTGTAGAGATGGGATCTCACCATGTTGCCCATGCTTGATTTTTAATAAGGATACTTCATTGGTGCTATTTATAGATTTTGATTTATTTCTAAATTGTTCTTTCAAAAGTTTCATTTTATCTGGTCATTTTATAGGACAGCTTTATCAGTTCCTGGTATAAATTCCTTTTAGCTTCAGCCTTAGAATATGAATATCTATACGTACATAATACTTCATATACACACGATATACACATATTCCCGTGTGTATATATGTGTGTGTGTCACCTACTTACATGTCCTGTTACTTTTCTATGAATCTTAAATTTGATAATGCTGTTTTGAATCTACTTCATCCCCTATATCTTCTGTATTCTTTCTACTTGAAATCTACCCTCACTATCTTGAATGATGAAGCCTGGTGACAACTTTTTAGATAATTTTATGTAAGATAATTATTTGCTAAGCCACCCAGTGACACACTCAGGTATTGTTTGTCTCCTTACCATCAGCATCTAGTAGGTCCTTCAAAATCAGAGCACTTTATTCTGTATTTTTAATCTATCTGTCTTTGCCTCTTACCCAGGAATGCAGACTTAGATGTCTATCTACAGAGGTCTAAAGTGGGCTGTAACATGGTTTTCCAGACTTTTTCTGTAAATAGCCAGATAGTAAATATTTTTAGCTTTTGAGTAGTTTTGTGGGCAACTACTTAACCCTGTACTTTGCTATTGTCAGTTGAAAGCAGCCATATACAAACTGTAAACAAGTGAGGCCGACTGTTCCAATTTATCCCATTTCTTTGCTTTTAAAAAAGTACCTATGTATTCGCTTAGCTGGAGTTGTTGTACAGGCTGTAGTTTGCTGACCACAGGACTAGAGGTTTGTTACCATGTGTGAATTTGTACTTAATCTCAGACTAAAAGAAAGAAAAGCTGGAAAACCACTGTATTTGATGAAATACCCCATTGTATAAGTGTTCCCAAATTAGCTTAGAATGTTATGAAATATTATGAGCCAGTAATGTCTATAGGCTTATTTCTGCCTGAAGACCATTAGTTTTAGATCTCTATATTTTAATTATCTTGAGAATCTCATCCTCATTGCCTGGCAAAATAAGCACAGAATAAATGCTTGTTGAATAAATAAATGAACCTCATACATTATTAATTTGTTTTTGTTTTCTCAAACTATTAGGAAATTTTGTCTGTGGCTAAAAAAAATAAAAAGGAGAACGAGGTAAGAGATTTATAAGATTAAGTTTAGAAGTCATATTTACTCCCCAGTTACTAGTCCTTTTTCTATAATCACCAGTGTACGTTTTTCTCACTTTATCCCGTTTCTTTGCTTTAAAAAAATACCTATGTATTCATTTCTTCCATATCCAACATTTTTCTTTTTTATGTATCAACTTTAGTTAGGTATTTTATTGCATGATTCTTGATGTATAAGTGTTAATTTATGGATCTAGCAATGTTGCTTTTAACTTGTGAATCTGGCAGTGATACAACTGCTCGTAGCCATGTGGGTATAAACCATGAGTCATCTTGTGGGAAGCTCTGAGGGATGCCTTTGATGAGGGGTGCCTTAATCTTGCTTCAGACCTTAAAGATTTTTTAAGTTTCTTAAAAGTTCTGTTTGAGAAGGCTTGATTTTCGAGCCACCTCTTCACTTATCCCATTTTATGTAGAGAGGTTCCTTGTTATCTCACTTTTTATTGCTCAAGTACTTAAAATTACCAGGTTGCATAGGGAAGCAAAATAATCATGACATGAAAATATTAATGAATGGATGTGAACTTCAAGTAGTTAATTTACATATTAAAGATTTTTAGGCCTTTGGGAAATTAATGTAATGTTTATAAAATGAGAGATACTCTATTTGGTCATACAATTTTGTCCAAAATTTATACTATAAAACTGTCTTGATTTTTATTCTTTTGTTAAGTATAAGGACTGGTTTATGGGTGCAGTTTAGTTGGATTTTTAAAGATTTAGTTAGATAAACTTTTAGTTGGATTTTTAAGATAAAGTCTTGATGTAATCTTCTATAATTTACCATGGGATTTTGGCTTCATTTTATAACTTACAGTCAGGAAGAAATAATTGTTAAGTACTGTATTTTAATGAATTTTGACACTTGCGTACACTTGTGTAACTGCCATCCAGATGAAGGTATAGAACATTTCCATTGTAGAGGGATCTCTTCTGTGTTTTTCTAATTATTTTTCCACCCCTAAACCCGGAGGAGGCCATTTTGTACACCTTTTATAGGATAACTTATTATTTCCTTTCCACTCAACATGTCTATGATACTCATTTATGTTGTTGAGCATTTTAGTAACTGGTTTCTTATTATTATTGACTAGTATTCTGTTGAATGAATGTTACAATTTTCTCATCCATCCCCTTATTGATGGGCATTTGGGTTGTTTGCAATTTGTGACTTTTATGAGTAAGGTTGCATAATAATTTGCATGCAAGTCCATGTGTAGACATGTTTTCATACTTTTTGCCTGTGTACCTGGGAATGGAATTGTTGTATTACATGGCAAATGTATGTTCATAAGAAAGTACAGATTTGTTCCCCCCAAGGTAAATGCATCATTTTATTCTCTTGCCAGCAATGTTTGAAAATTCCAGCTTACATTATTGTCAGCATTTGATAGCCTTTTAATTTCAGCTATTTTATTAAATGAGAAATGGCAATGTGTGTGGTTTTTAACTTGCATTTTCCTAATTACTACTGAAGTAGAGTTTATTTTTATGTTCTTGATGACTGTTTTCTTTCTTTTTTTTTTTTTTTTTTTTTTGAGATGGAGTCTTGCTCTGTCGCCCAGGATGGAGTGCAGTGGTACGATCTTGGCTCACTGCAACCTCTGCCTCCCGGGTTCAAGCGATTCTCCTGCCTCAGCCTCCCAAGTAGCTGGGATAACAGGTGCACGCAACCACGCTCAACTAATTTTTGTACTTTTAGTGGAGACAGGGTGTCACCATTTTGGCCAGGATGGTTTCGATCTCTTCACCTCGTGATCTGCCCGCCTCGGCCTCCCAAAGTGCTGGGATTACAGGCGTGAGCCGCCATACCTGGCATATATGTTTTCTTTTGTAAAGTATCTGTTAGTATCTTTTGCCCGTCTCTTTTGCCCGTCTTATTTATGCATACTGTATTTTCTGTGTAACAGTTTAATAAATTATTGAGTGTCACAATATTAGAAGTTTGGAAGAAAGGTATAATTCTAATGATCTTTTCAAAAGTATGTGCCTGATTTTAATTTGTAAGGGTTATTCTCAGATTTTTTATATTTTATTTTATTTTATTTTTTTGAGGCAGTCTCCTGTCACCCAGGCTGGAGTGCAGTGGTTGTGTTCATGGCTCACTGCAGCCTTGGCTTCCTGGGTTCGAGTGATCCTCAGCCTCCCGAGTAGCTGGGATACAGGCAGTTGCGTGCAACCACACCCAGCTAATTTTTTGTATTTTTAGTAGAGACAGGGTTTCGCCATGTTGTCCAGGGTGGTCTTGGACACCTGGATTCAGGTGATCCTCCTGCCTCAGCTTCCAAAAGTGCTGTGATTATAGCATTAGCCACTGTGCCAGCCTGTTATTGTTTTTTTTAGTAGCTTTTCATTTGTAGAGGGATGGAGATGTCTGCAGTTTTTTAATCCAGATGTGATCTTAGTCTTCTATACTTAATGATTATAGGACTCAGTAGGGTTTGTTAGTTCCATTTTCTGATAAATGGTGGCATACAGCAGCATTTTGTATAACACATCTTATTAAACTTTTTTTCTCTACAGGATGAAAACTCCTCTACTAATCTCTGTGTAGAAAATCTTCAGAAAAATAAAGATTCAAATAGTATAATTAAAGATAGATTGTCTCAAACGGTTAGGCAGAATACTAAATTCTTTTTTGACCCAGTCCGGAAGTGTAATGGTCAGCCAGTACCTTTTCAACAACCGAAGCACTTCACGGGAGGAGTGATGCGATGGTACCAAGTAGAAGGCATGGAATGGCTTAGGGTAATGAATTGTAATTTTTAATACAACATATTGGTTTTATTTCTGTAGTAGCCTAATAATGTGATGTACCACAAGTGGAGTCATTTCTGTCATGTTTCATTATTATACATTTGTGTGTGAATACCTACTTTCTGATTTCTTTAACCTGAATTTTTAGACGTGGAAATTACCTTGTTAATGACTTCCAACACTTTTATGGCTTTAATAAAGGATTTTCCACAGTGTTGCTATAATTTATAGTGTGAATATATCAGTTTTAACGTAATTCTCATCTTTGGGTGTGATTTTTTTTAAAGAGAAGAAATGAAATATTGTAACCCTGTAGTTGCTTATATCCGAGTTTAAATACAGTATCTATTATTTCATCCAGATGCTTTGGGAAAACGGAATTAATGGCATTTTAGCAGATGAAATGGGATTGGGTAAGACAGTTCAGTGCATTGCTACTATTGCATTGATGATTCAGAGAGGAGTACCAGGACCTTTTCTTGTCTGTGGCCCTTTGTCTACACTTCCTAACTGGATGGCTGAGTTCAAAAGATTTGCACCAGATGTAAGACATGCTTTCTTATGTTAAAATTATAATTTTACATGTTTTTTTATGCTTCGTTGTTGTAGGAATTAAATTGTAGAACTCCTATAATTATATTGGTTCCTGTATAAATATTTTGTCTGATTTGACTTAATCTGTGGAGTACCCTAATTTAAATTTATATAGTATAGGTTTTGGAAATCCCTGACATCTTTCCTAAAATATTCCAGAATGATTTTCATTGCATTGGTTAATTTGATTCAACTGAGACAGACTTAGGTAGAGATTTTATTAAAAATTCTGCTTATTCTTCACTTGATCTTTGCCAAAAGGCTGAGAAGAGAGGAAGAGAGTTTTCTGTTTTTTGTAACTTTTTTTCTATACACGTTACCTTCTGCTTTTTTTTTTTTTTTTGAGATGGAGTCTCTCTTGCCCAGGCTGGAGGGCAGGGACGCAATCTTGGTTCACTGCAACCTCTGACTCCCATGTTGAGTTGATTCTTGTGCCTCAGCCACTCGAGTAGCTAGGACTACAAGCATGTGCCACCATACCCAGCTAATTTTATGTTTTTAGTAGAGACGATGTCTTGCTGTGTTGGCCAGGCTGGTCTTGAACTCCTGGCCTGAAGAGATCCGCCCACCTTGGCCTCCCAAAGTCCTGGGATTATAGATGTGAGCCACCGTTACCCCCGCACCCAGCCCTTCTGCACATTTTTGCCTTATGAGAAATTCTAGAAGTAGTGTCACCATCTGCCTCATTTTTTAATATATATATATATATAATTTATTTATTTATTTTGAAATGGAGTCTCTCTGTCACCAGGCTGGAGTATAGTAGCTGGGACTACAGGCGCGCACCAGCACACCTGGCTAATTTTTTGTATTTTAGTCGAGACGGGGTTTCACCATGTTGGCCAGGATAGTCTCGATCTCCTGATCTTGTGATCCACCCACCTCGGCCTCCCAAGTGCTGGGATTACGGGCGTGAGCCACCGCGCCCGGCCTATATGTATTTTATGTATTTATGGGTTTTTGTTGTTGTGTGTGTGTGAGAGAGAGAAAGAGTTTGGCTCTTGTTACCCAGGCTGGAGTGCAGTGGCACTATCTCGGCTCACTGCAACCTCTGGCTCCTGGGTTCAAGCGATTCTCTTGTCTCAGCCTCCCAAGTAGCTGGGATTACGGGTGTGCACCACCACGCCCAGCTAATTTTTTATTTTTAGTAGAGACAGGGTTTCTCCATGTTGGTCAGGCTGGTCTGGAACTCCTGACCTCGGGTGATCTGCCTGCCTCAGCTTCCCAAAGTGCTGGGATTACAGGCATGAGCCATCCCGCCCGGCCCTTATATTTGTTTTTATGACTTTATTATTTTTATTTTTTCTTCAGATAGGATGTTGCTCTGTTGCCCAGGCTGGAATGCAGTGGCGCCATTCTGGCTCACTGTGGCCTTCACCTCCTAGTCTCATGTGAGCCTGCTATCTCATACCTGAGTAGCTCATGTGAACCTCCCATCTCACTCCACTGGGTGAGTAGCTAGCACTACAGGTGCGTACCCCCACACCCAGCTAATTTTTGTATTTTGTGTAGAGATGGGATTTCTCCATGTTGCTCAGGTTGATCTCGAACTACTCACAGACTTTAGAGATCTGCTTGCCTTGGCTTCCCAGAGTGTTGAGGTTAGAGGTGTGAGCCATTGTGCTGGGCCTGACTTTTTTTTTTTTTTTTTTTCATTTTTCTCCCGTAGTAGTTCAATGATTTGTTAGAATTGCTTGGCTTATTTTGCTATAGAAAAATAGAACTGAAATTTTAAATTATATTTTTTCCCTCAGAATGATTTATATTCTCTAAATAGTCAATTTTTACATTTTGTTCTTAAGTTTGATATAAATCAATATAAAATTTTTCAGATCCCTACAATGTTATATCATGGAACCCAGGAGGAACGTCAGAAATTGGTAAGAAATATTTACAAACGGAAAGGGACTCTGCAAATTCATCCTGTGGTAATCACGTCATTTGAAATAGCCATGAGAGACCGAAATGCGTTACAGGTACAAATGATCTTCATTGGTTTCTTTGTAATACATAAAACATGTTTTTTTTAAATTTATACCACTTTCTTACCATCTGGGAGCATTTGTCTAATTTGTTGTTGTTGAAATTGTAGATTATATTGTGCATATACCTTTAGAATCTGGAGACTTTTATTAACAGAATGATTGAGATGAAGGCCATCATTTGTAACAATATAATTAAAGCTTATGGCAGTTTAACATATGGCGTAGAATCATCCAGAAATAGACCTAATCTCTGAATGTATTACAGATATATTTGTGACAGTTACTTTGAATATACGGAATTTACCTATCTATTGTATTTTAATCAAATAAGAGTATTTGAAGACAAGTTATTTTTAGAGTATCTTATTGGACTATTTGTTAACATTTTCATTTGTTTTGATGTTGTAGCTACTTACTTAAATAATTTCCTGTTAGCATAACACAATTGAAAAATTGTGCCTTCTTTCGTGCCTTCTGTTAATTCATTTATTGATGTTTTGAACTTCTTCCTCAATGCTCTACCTCATTCATTTATAATTCTTGACTGCTTTGTTTTTCCTTTCTCTGGCTGTGTGAGAACCCTCTTAGTGCGGTACCCTTAAGTTTATCTTGCTTGGAAATAGGAAAGTACTTAATGGTTTCAACATAAAATTAAAACACATAAGTCGTAAGTGGAATAATTATGACTTGCATAATTATGACGAGTATTGTCAGGTTTTGCGTATGTGCTGGTAAAACTTTGGAATATGATTTGCAGAAATCTTAGCTCAAGAGTTTAGCAAAGTTGACAAATGTGTACAGCCTTAAAAAGTATTTAAACCAGGCCGAGCTTGAAGGCTCATGCCAGTAATTCCAGCACTTTGGGAGGGTGAGGCGGGCAGATCGCTTGAGGCCAGGAGTTCCAGACCAGCCTGGCCAACATGACAAACCCGTGTCTCTACTAAAAATACAGAAATTAGCTGGGTGTGATGGTGCACATCTGAAATGGTACGAGGATTGCTTGAACCCGGGAGGTGGAGGTTGCAGTGAGCTGAGATTGCGCCACTGCACTCCAGCCCGTGCTGCAGTGAGAGTCTGTCTCAAAAAAAAAAAAAAAAAAAATTCAAACCAGCAGTCTGCAACCATTTGGCACCAGGAACTGGTTTTGTGGAAGACAAGTTTTCCATGGACCATGGGTGGGGGATGGTTTCAGAATGGTACAAGTGCATTACAATTATTGTGCACTTTATTTTTATTATTATAAAATTGTAATACATAATGAAATAATAGGGCCGGCCATAATGGCTCACGCCTATAATCCCAGCACTTTGGGAAGCTTAGGTGGGCAAATCACTTGAGGTGAGGAGTTTGAGACCTTCCTGGCCAACATGGTGAAACCACATCTCTACAAAAATACAAAAATTACATGGGCACAGTGGCCCAGCTCCTTGGGAGGCTGAGGCAGGATAATTGGTTGAACCCGGAAGGCAGATATTGCAGTGAGCGGAGATCATGCCTCTGTACTGTAGGCTGGGCAACCGAGTGAGACTGTGTCTCAAAATAATAATAATAATTTTATAACTTACCATAATGTAGAATCAGTGGTAGCCCTGAGCTTGTTTTCCATCTAGGGATGATGGGAGACAATGACAAGTCATCCAACATTAGATTTTTATAAGGAGCGCACAACCCAGATCCTTGGATGTGTAGTTCGCAATAGGGTTCATGCTCCTATGAGAATATATTGTCTCCTGATCTGACAGGAAGCGGAGCTCAGGCCATAATGTGAGCAGTAGGGAGTGGCTGTAAATATAAATGAAGCTTCGCTTTGCTGTAAATACACATAAAGCTTCCCTCCCTCACAGGTGCTTACTTCCTGCTGTGTGGCCTGGTTCCTAACATGCCATGGACCCCTGCAGGTCTGTGGCCTGGGGATTGGGGACCCCTGATATAAACCATTTCTTTACAGTAAGAGTAATATATACCGATTTTTTTAAAGGGTAGTATACAGGAAGATGTAAAAGCACCTGTAATTCTACCTGAGAACTACAACTTTTTTTTTTTTTCTTCCTGTTTTTGAGACGGAGTCTTGCTCTGTCACCCAGGCTGGAGCGCAGTGGCGCGATCTCGGCTCACTGCAAGCTCTGCCTCCCAGGTTCACGCCATTCTCCTGCCTCAGCCTCCCAAGTAGCTGGGACTACAGGCACCCCCTGCCACACCCGGCTGATTTTTTTGTAATTTTAGTAGAGACGGGGGTTCACCGTGTTAGCCAGGATGGTCTTGATCTCCTGCCCTCGTGATCTGCCCACCTTAGCCTCCCAGAGAACTACTTTATACTCAATAATTATAGCTAACATGTAGGTATAATTTACACATATGATCATACTATACATTCATTTTTTTTTTTGGTCCAAGATAGGGTCTCACTTTGTCACGCAGGCTGGAGTCCTGTGGCCCAATCTCAGCGCACTGTAGCCTGAAACTCCTGGGCTCAAGTGATTCTTCTATCTCAGTCTCCTGAGTAGCCGGGACGACAGATGTCCGTCACCACACCTGTTTCTTGTATTTTTTTGTAGGGACAGGGTGTCTCAAGCCATCCACCTGCCTAGGCCTCACAAAGTGCTGGGAGTACAGGTGTGAGCCACTGCTTCCGGCCTGCATTCACTTTTGCAATTTGTGTTTTCTACTCAGTAATATAACATGAAGACCCTTCTAATCTGTTTTCCGTACCCGTCCTGTAATGAAATAGTTAAGCTTCCTTGTCCATTTCATTTGCTAGTGGCTAGAAACTTTCGAATTTTCCATTTCAGTGAGCTTATGTTATCATTTCAAGGATCTTAGCTTACTCTGAGTGGGAGGTTCCAGGGCTTTTGTTGCTGAGTGCTAGCGGAAGTGACTGAGTTCACTTGCTAATTTGGCTTTCAGATTGCTCATCATTTGTTTCCTTGTTTTTTTTTTTCTCTCACCCATTATAAAAGGATATATATACATATACTTTTTTTTTTTTTTTTTTTTGAGACGGAGTCTCACTCTGTTGCCCAGGCTGGAGTGCAGTGGTGCAATCTTGGCTCACTGTAACTTCCGCCTCCCAGGTTCAAGTGATTCTCCTGTCTCAGCCTCCCAAGTAGCTGGGATTACAGGCACTCACCACCATGCCTGGCTATTTTTTGTATTTTTAGTAGAAACGGGGTTTCACCATGTTGGTCAAGCTGGCCTCGATCTCCTAACCTTCTGATTCTCCTGCCTTGGCCTCCCAAAGTGCTGGGATTACAGGCATGAGCCACCATGCTCAGCCCGATTTTTTTTTTTTTTTTTTTTTTAAGATAGTCTCCCTCTGTCACCCAGGCTGGAGTGCAGTGGCAGGATCTCGGCTCACTGCAGCCTCCGTCTCCCTGGCTCAAGCAATTCTCCTCCCTCAGCCTCCTGAGTAGCTGGGATTACAGGCGTGTGCCACCACGTCCGGCTAATTTTTGTATTTTTAGTAGAAATGAGGTTTAACCAAGTTGGCCAGGCTGGTCTCAAACTCCTGACCTCAGGTAATCTGTCTGCTTCGGCCTCCCAAAGTGCTGGGATTGCAGGCCTGAGCCACTGTGTCCGGCAAAGGATATTTTATATTTTTATCTGGCATTTTTAGATAGCTGTCTTACAGTGAGAGATAATTCAGGTTTTCTGGTTTTACCATATTGCCAGGAAAATAAATCTCTTCCTAGTTATTTTAATAAAGAAGACACAATACTATAAACTTTTTTGATTCTTTTGGGATATATAAAGCAAAATGCGAAACATTCTCTATACTCTTTCCTCAATTTGTCAGTCCCATTTTTTAAGGATACCTATATTTTTCAGATTGTTATTTATATTTCCAGAAATACTTTGTATTTCTGTTTGTTAATATAAATTAGATTAATTATAAATTTTCCTGATAAAGATATATGAGAAATCACAGATATTAAAATGAGAAAGTTAAAACATTTTCATGATAACTTTGTGAAAGTGAATGGGTGACTTTCTGTGAAAATATAAATTGCTTAAATAAAGAAGGGAAAATTCTAGTTCTATTTGATGTTTCAGCGTGTATGGAACTAATAAAAACTCAATTTTTAGTAGTCTAGCATAACAATATCAAAACTTGGGAAAACATTAGAAAAGAAAGCTACAACTGCATTGACTAGGGTCTGAATAGGGAAATCTTAAATTCAGAACAGGTGGAGTTCAAGCTTTATTGCGTATTTTAGTAGATAACTCTTCCAGGAACTGAAATATCTATCAATTTTAGGAATCCTTGTAAGTGGATCAAATGAAAACATGATCATCTCAGTAGTTACTGAAATTACATTTGATAAAATTCAACATCCATCCCTCATAATAGATGTTTTATTTTTAGAATTCTTGTTAGAAAAATCGTGAGATCATTGTTTAAAAATCTTTTTCCTCAATTCATTTTCTAGCATTGCTATTGGAAATACTTAATAGTAGATGAAGGACACAGGATTAAGAATATGAAGTGCCGTCTAATCAGGGAGTTAAAACGATTCAATGCTGATAACAAACTTCTTTTGACTGGTACTCCCTTGCAAAACAATTTATCAGAACTTTGGTCATTGCTAAACTTTTTGTTGCCAGATGTATTTGATGACTTGAAAAGGTGGGTAAGCCAGTTATTTAATGATTTAACCTCAAAAATCTGTGCTGTTACTCAAAATTACTTTCTTTTCAGTAACTGAATTAAAATGCCAAATATTTGGCAAGTTCTTTTTGGTGTATATTGTATGTTCTACTCCTGTCACAAATTATGTGAGAGCAGATTAAGAAAAGATTATTTAAAACTTACTTGCATTGGTTAAAGGAAGACTGCTGAATGCTACTTTAAGATAATATTTTTATAATAAGGTTATTTTATGTGTTACCTTTGTAAAACATTTTAAGATGGATTTTTCTCATTATATCCTCATGAAACAACCGGGGACAATAGAGTTGTTAAATTATTCCCTATCTCACATAAAAGAAAACCTAGGTATAGAGTTGTTACAAGGTAAGACTAGTTAGCACCAGAGCCAAAGTTAAAACTGAGGTCTCCCAATGTAAACATAGTGTTTTAATTCTGGAAACTATGTTTGAATCTTAGCTTATATAATAAAATCAGAAATAAAAGTAGTTTCCAGAAAGTAATTAGTAACTTCAGAATGGAGGAGGAGGTAATGTTAACATAATCTAAAACTGATTACAACGGAAATACAACCTGGGCAAAAAAGGTAATTTATACTTGTTTTGGCATCAGTGAAGGAAGTAAGCTAATTGGATGTGGAAATATAATTTTAAATTTTGGGAATTTATTTCAAATCTGGTTACCGAATGGTGTCTCAAGGTAGGCTACCTTATTGTGACTCTGGGCGCTATTATTGAAAGACAAGAATTCCAGGTACTATGCAGACATACTGAATTACAGTGTCAAGATAGGAGTTGAGAATCTGAGTTTTTTGAACATCCTTCTGGTGATCCAAGTTTGGGAACATCTAGTCTACTGCAGAAATGTTACTAGCATTTTCCACAGTTGGATGTAATGTTACCTATTATATATTATTAATCTGCATGCTCATACTTAATTGCTCATTGTAATATATATATATTTAACAGTGGGAAGGAATAAGCATGTATAATATTGTCAAGTTATGTATATGTTGAATTTTAAAATATTGTAGTGGGCCATACTTAAGACTGGTGGAGAAAATCATATGACTTTGGTTTTCAGAGATAGTTCTTACTTTTGTAAAGTAAAATTATAAATATATACCTTAATCTTACTTGATTTTTATACTACTGTACGGTTGTTAATCTATTTATAAATCAGAAAAGTGTTCCCTTTAAGCTCACAGTTCTTGATGGTTCAAAAATCCAATCAATTTATCTTTGTTGTTTGAATATGTTCTTTTCCATTATAATTTTTAAAAATTGCACCTAACGATTTGGTGCAACAATACTATGTTTCAGTATCACAGATTATTACTGTAAATAATCATGTATCATGTTGACATAACTTAATTTATGTGGTTAACTTAAACATTTTTCTTTTCCAGCTTTGAGTCTTGGTTTGACATCACTAGTCTTTCTGAAACTGCTGAAGATATTATTGCTAAAGAAAGAGAGCAGAATGTATTGCATATGCTGCACCAGGTTTTCTATGTTTTCTTATTCTGCTTAACCATAGGCTCAATAGAGTATAAAAGGAACTCTGGAGATCACCTGTCTAATCCTTTGTAGTGGAGATTTGAAAAATGAAGGTCCTCCTACATTTAAATGACTCCTTTGTTTTTTCTTCTCTTGAGTTTTATGACAGAACTCAAGTGCTTACCTAAGTTTTGTCCTTTTCAGATAGTATACTCATTTTACCCCAATGGTTACGGAGAAGTTTGTCAAGCACAAAACAGAAATTTGTGGTTTTTATGGAATGCTTGCCAATAATACTTTTATAATTTACATCCTTGCATGACTGTCTCATCTATTTTTATTGCCTTCTGTAATCCCTACCCCATCCTACCTATCTTTAATTTAGAGAAACATTATCTAATCTAGTCACATGAGCCTGAAAAGCTTCTCAGTTGTGGTGTAGCAATTTTATTCGAAGTCTTTATCATTTTTTCTGATATTAAATTTTATACATGTTCATGAGAAAAATGTGAAGCAGGAGAGAACTGAAAAGTAAAAATATCACTTCCTCTTAAAATTGTACTTCCTGGTAGTGTATGTGGAATGATTGTGTTGTGTTATATGACAGTCCAGACTCTTTTCTGTCTTTGTGTAAACATGTGTGTTTTATGTGTATTTTATGAAGAAAAAGATTGTAAAAATAAAATTATTCCTTAAGATAGTCTTTTAAACAGTTACCAGAAGATTATTGTCCTTTTACTACATGTAGATTTAAATCAGTGGTTTTTAATAACTGCTTATTATCCCACTGTCCTGTTCTACTATAATATAAAATTATACCTATATCTTCCTCTTTTCAAAATTTTCTACAATATAAACAAGGTTGTAGTATCTCTACTTAACATTACACCTTTGCCCATTACTGGCTATTTCCTTAGGAAAGAATTCCTAGAATGTATATGTTAGAATTTACAGATGATGGCTTCTTTGAAGGCAAATTGCCCTCCAGAAAAGATTTATATGACATACGTCCATATGAAAATACTTATTTACTCAAGCTTCATACCAATTTTGAGGTTAGAAGTCCTTTACAGTGTGTTGCAGAGATTAAAAAGGATGATTATTGCTGAATTGAGATGTTTATAGATAGTTCCTTGTGACCATATTCCAACATATGTTGGAATATTTATTTCTTAATGGTTTATAATAACTATGTTAAAAATAAGTTAATGGTCTGTATGTTGTGAAGAATGTCTTTCCCCTCCTCACGTTTTGGGATAAACTTTGTTTATGGTGTCTTTTTGTGTGTTTGTGTGCACAAGTGTGTGTGTTTATATTTAAAATTTTCTTTTTTTCCTGCTGTGACTAGCCAATGATCGAAATTTCAATGTGCCAATAGTTATAGAAGTTTTTAAATGTCCCAGTATGAATTATTGGGGTAAATGACTTATTTAGGAAGAGATGTGTTTCGACATCACATCCTCATCAGTAGTTAAATCCATATAGTGTAGCAAAGGATTAAGTTTCTCTTCTTAGGAAATTTAATTAGAGAGTCAAGACAATGAATATTTATAGAATTGGTCACTTACAGGTTACCTCACAGAGTATACAGGTAGATAGATATTCCTGAGAAATGATAATCTGCCTTTTGATTGAACATTTGTAGTGCTTGTCGTAGTTGATAATTCACTGGAATTATCCAGTGAATAATTGGAATTGAAGATAACTTCAAATTTCCATTAATATTAAGATATGATAATGGACTTTTATTATATCTATCCAAATTCAACAGTTTATCAAAAATAGGGGCAGATTTTGAATGTTCTACCAATAAGAATATTCTGTGCAATACTGTGCTTAAATTTGAGTTTATATTACTTTTATACTTTGTCCTAATTATGTTTTAATGCATTACTGGAGGAAAAAGTTTTCATTCAAAATGAATTCAAATTAGTTGGAGATAGTTTTAAATCGCTAGTATAGTTTCTTAACTAGTTTCTATATGCAAGAATTCTTTCCTTTTTTTAATGCAATGTTTGCATAGAGATGGGATTTCACCGTGTTAGCCAGAATGGTCTCCATCTCCTGACCTCGTGATCCGCCTGCCTTGGCCTCCCAAAGTGCTGGGGTTACAGGCGTGAGCCACCGCGCCTGTCTGGAAGTGTTTTAACATGTTTATGAAACATTTACATATTTTTCCTGATTTGCCTGTGGGCATATTTGTTTTTGGATTGATGTCTGTAGATACCAACACTGGTAATGTGTTTACTGTCTCTGTCAATAGTCTGGTAATAGTTTGCATAAACATTGCATAGTAAAAAAATTTTTTTTTTACTTTCCATTTAAAGTTATCTAAGCTTGCTACTTTTCTATTTCCGCCCCATATGGAAGGCCAAAAGCAGTATAACTTTTACAAATTATGTATTTAAAATTTTTTATTTTAAAATTGTGTGTACACAGTAAGATATTTTTAAATATTACAAAAATTTAGAAAATAAAAAGTAAAAAGCAAAACTTTCTGTTTTCCTTCTGCACTTACTTTCTTATCTCCAAAGTATAACTAATAGATTTTTTTTTTTTTTTGAGACAGAGTTTCACTCTGTGCCCAGGCCTGGAGTGCAGTGGCGCGATGTTGGCTCACTGCAACCTCTGCCTCCCAGGTTCAAGGGATTTTTCCTGCCTCACCCTCCTGAGTAGCTGGGATTACAGGCGTGTGCCACCACACCTGGCTAATTTTTTTGTATTTTTACTGGAGACGAGGTTTCACCATGTTGGCCAGGCTGGTCTCAAACTCCTGACCTCAAGTGATCTGCCCGCCTCAGCCTCCCAAAGTTCTGGGATTACAGGTATGAGCCACCGCACCTGGCCAACAGATTTTTTTTTTTTTTTTTTTTTGGGAGACTCTGACATCCAGGCAGGAGAGTAGTGGTGCCATTGTTGGTCATTAGGTTGGTATCTGCAGCCTCCGACTCGTACTCCTGGGTTCAAGTGATTCTTCTGCCTCACCCTCCTGAGTTGCTGGAACCAAAGGTGCATGCCACCAGGTCCAGCTAATTTTTGGTCGATGGGTCTTGTATAACTCTTACTTGTTTCTGTCCGCTTAGAAAGCTTGTATACTAGGGAAAACATATATAAATACTTTTTTTATATATGTGTTTCAGCGGTATGGTGTGCCCCTTCTTCTACATATTTGCCATTTCAGTTAACATCAAACTATAATATTTGTCAGTGGATGTGGTAGAAAAATACCTTGTTATTTCGTGTTTTTCTTAAAGACATGGACATGTTTTATTTTTTTTATTTTTCTGAGATGGAGTCTCGCTTCATTGCCCATGCTGAAGTATAGTGGTGTGATCTCAGCTCACTGCAAGCTCCACCTCCCGAGTTCATGCCGTTCTCCTGCCTCAGCCTCCCAAGTAGCTGGGACTACAGGCGTCCGCTACGACGCCTGGTTAATTTTTTCTATTTTTTAGTAGGAGACGGGGTTTCACCATGTTAGCCAGGATGGTCTCCATCTCCTGACCTCGTGATCTGTCCGCCTCGGCCTCCCAAAGTGCTGGGATTACAGGCGTGAGCCACTGCACCTGGCCAGACATGTTTGTGGGCATATTTATGAAACATTTACATATTTTTCCTGATTTGCCTGTGGACATATTTGTTTTTGGATTGGTATCTGTAGTTACCAACACTGGTGATGTGTTTACTATCTCTGGTAATAGTCTATGATTAGCCCTATACCTGTTGGGTATTTAAATCCAGAGTCCTGAAAATGAGCTTTATTATATATGATTACTATATGTAAAGCATTGTTGGTATTTAAAGGCAGGGGTATAAAGAGTATACAATTTTTTATTATTATTACTTTTTTTGAGTCGAAATCTCTGTCGCCCAGGCTAGAGTGCAGTGCCACGATCTTGGTTCACTGCAACCTCCGTCTCCCAAGTTCAAGCCATTCTCCTGCCTCAGCCTCTGAGTAGCTGGGATTCTGTAATCCCCCCACCACACCTGACTAAATTTTTGGTAGTTTTTTTAGTAGAGACCGGATTTCACCACGTTGGCCAGGCTAGTCTCAAACTTCTGACCTCAGGTGATCTGCACACCTCTGCCTCCTAAATTGCTGGGATTACAGGCGTGAGCTACCGCGGCTGACCTAGAGTATACAATGACTTTAAACAAGTGTTTGTTCTCTTTTAATGACCCAAATATTTTAATAATGGCATAATTGTCTGTTGCTTCTGTGTTCTCTTTATAAATGTGATAATCGTTTGTAACCACCTCAGCTAATGAAAGAGAATAATTTTAAACCTGAAACTTTAGAACTTACCGAAGAAACTTGTATGTCTGCATCACTAGGTCAGCTGGCTTTTTACTGAGTTTAAAACCTCATTCTATTAAAAAATTTAAGTTTTTTTAAAGTTTTTAGTTTTTTGGGTACATGGTAGGTGTATATGTTTATGAGCTATATGTTTTGATATTGATACAGAAATGTAATGCATGATAATCATATCATGGAGAATGGGGTATCTATCCCCTCAAGCATTTATTATCCTTTTTTAATTTTAATTTTAATTATCCTGGATTAGTGATCCAGTTACACATGATACAGCTATATACCTTTTTTTTTTTTTTTTTTTGTGGAGACAGAGTCTTGCTCTGTCACCCAGGCTGGAGTGCAGTGGCACATTCCTGGCTCACTGCAACCTCTGCCTCCTGGGTTCAAACAATTCTCCTGCCTCAGCGTCTTGAGTAGCTGGGGTTATAGGCACCCAACAGCAAGCCCAGCTAATTTTTGTGTTTTTGGTGGAGATGGGGTTTTACCATGTTCACCAGGCTGATCTCAAACTCCTGACCCAGGTGATTCTCCTGCCTCAGCCTCCCAAAGTGCTGGGATTACAAGCGTAAGTCATTGCACCTGGCCTCCAGTTAGACTCTTCCTTATATTTTAAAATGTAAAAGTTAAATTACTATTGACTGTAGTCACCCTTTTGTGCTACGAAATACTAGGTCTTATTATTTCTACTTTTTGTACTCATTATTTAAAAAATTTTTTAAAATTTTTATTCATTTTTATTGTTTCCCCTTTTGTATGGTGCTGATAAAATCTAATTTTAAAAGTTGTGGGCTATAACTGAAACTTTAACCCTAAGAAATACAAATGCTACCTTTATATTTTTACTTTTAAAATTATTTGAGATAGGTAACAGTTTTTAAGAGAAAAGTAAATTCTGAAATGCTGCGGACAAATACTGTGAGTTTACCATTTGGTCTGGTCTGGGAAAATCTCAAGAAGATATTTTCACCTTTTGAGATTTGATATTACCTATATAGGAAGTCAAAAGATAAGGTAAAGGAGTATATGGGGACAGTATTCCTTGAAAAAAAAAGAATGTTTAATACTCATATTTTTCTGTTCGTGTTTTAATTTTAGATTTTAACACCTTTCTTATTGAGAAGACTGAAGTCTGATGTTGCTCTTGAAGTTCCTCCTAAACGAGAAGTAGTTGTTTATGCTCCACTTTCAAAGAAGCAGGAGATCTTTTATACAGCCATTGTGAACCGTACAATTGCAAACATGTTTGGATCCAATGAGGTATAGTGGTTTTGAAATGTATTGTGAAGGAAACTTGACATAAAATTTCTCTTTTTTCCCTTTTTTTTTGAGACAAGATGTTGCTTTGTCACCCAGGCTGGAGTGCAGTGGCACAATGGCTGCTCACTGCAGCCTTTACATACCTGGCTAATTTTTTTGTGGAAACTGGCTTTTTGCCATGTTTCCCAGGTTGGTCTCAGACTCCTGGGCTTAAGCAGTCCGCCCACCTTGGCCTCCCAGAGTGCTGGGGTTACTGGTGTTAGCAATTGCGCCTGGCCTAAATTCCAGTTTTAATGGCCCCTTGTTTATTTTCAGGACGTGGGTGAATTTGTATCTGGGGTATAAGGCATAAGGCCAAGTGGCAAAAGTTGTTTCCTAGTATCTGCAGTCCTGCTAAAATGTAAGTGATAATCCTTGTATTAATTACTTTGCAGTCATCTGGAATACTTATTAAAAATTTAGGCCTGGCACAGTGGCTCATGCCTGTAATCCCAGCACTTAGGGAGGCCGATGCGGACAGATCACCTGAGGTCGGGAGTTTGAGACCAGCCTGACCAACATGGAGAAACCCTGTCTCTACTAAAAACACAAAATTAGCTGGGCGTGGTGGCACATACCTGTAATCCCAGCTACTCAGGAAGGCAGAGGCAGGACAATCGCTTGAACCCGGGAGGTGGAGGTTGGAGATGGAGGTTGCGGTGAGCCGAGATTGCGCCATTGTACTCCAGCCTGGGCAAGAAGAGTGAAAATCCGTCTCAAAAAAAATAAATAAAATAAAACAAAAATTTAGATTTCTGTGCAGATTAACTCTAAACGCTTTCTGGGAATGAACTTGGAAATTCATTTTTAACAAGCACACAGTTATTTGAGAATCCCTGTACTGAGGACTTGGCAACTAGACTAATCTCCAAATATACAGCATCCAAAATCTGAGTTGCTCCAAAATTTGAAACTTTGTGAGTGCTGATACGACACTCAAAGGAAATGCTTACTGGAGCATTTCTATTTTCCCGTTAGGGATGTTCAACTTGTACAGTTTCCTTGCTGAAGGTTATTGAGAACCAAAAGGATTAATAATCACTTTGATGATTATTATCACCCACCATATTATAGGAGATAGAGGTAGGATGTTATCATTTAACTCAAGGAGACCCTTAAGTTTTGTTTAACTGTCCAGATTTTTTATTGTCCACTATGGACCTGTAGATTTTATTTTCAAAATATTTATTGTCATGCATTTTTAAACAATAGAACCACCAGACTCTCTTCTCCCCCCCCCCCCCCCTTTTTTTTTCTTTGAGACAGAGTCTTGCTTTGTTGCCCAGGTTGGAGTGTAGTGGCATGATCTTGGCTCACTGCAAGCTCCGCCTCCCGGGTTCACGCTATTCTCTTGCCTCAGCCTCCCAAGTAGCTGGGACTACAGGCACCCGCCACCATGGCTGGCTATGGTTTTCTATTTTTTTAGTAGAGATGGGATTTCACCATGTTAGCCAGGATGGTCTCGATCTCCTGACCCAGGTGATTCACCCGTGTTGGCCTCCCAAAGTGCTGGGATTACAGGCGTGAGCCACCGAACCCCGGCCTCTTCTCTCTTTTTAATAATTAATTATAATTAAAGGAAAGGTCTAGCTATTTACAAATTTACATTATTTGTCTGTTAATGAGCAATTTCATGCAGTGTTAACCAGTCTGAAGAAATATCCTCTGTAGTGCAAATTTCTGGAGCCGTGTTTCATCTTTAAGGTATTGAATCCTTTTGTGTAAGTTCAAAGTAGTTTTATTCGCCCTTCATTTTTCCCTATTGAGATACGAAGGCCCTTCCTCTTACTTTCAGATATTGTCGTCCATGTTAAAATTAAACTAATTTCCTACAACATTTGTATTTCTCTATAGATTGTCATTGTGTACATAAAGTATGCCTTATTTTGTTTACATTTAGAACCTAAGGATATAGCTTTATAAACTGGCTTTCCTTTATTCGTTCCCTTTTAGAAAGAAACAGTTGAGTTAAGCCCTACTGGTCGACCAAAACGACGAACTAGAAAATCAATAAATTACAGCAAAATAGATGATTTCCCTAATGAATTGGAAAAATTGATCAGTCAGATACAGCCAGAGGTGGACCGAGAAAGGTTTGAATTTGAAAATGAATTTAAGTATTCTTTAAACTGGCACCATTTTTTGTGTTTCTCATATGTATGCATTATTCGTTTTGGTAGAACTGTTGTGGAAGTGAATATCCCTGTAGAATCTGAAGTTAATCTGAAGCTGCAGAATATAATGATGCTACTTCGTAAATGTTGCAATCATCCATATTTGATTGAGTATCCTATAGACCCTGTTACACAAGAGTTTAAGGTGAATACTATTTAATTCTAATTTACTGTTTTGATTTATATTACTTTTATATTGGTGGAAAATGTTACTTTGTTTTGATTATAATTATTAAAAATAAGTATGGTGCTATTTGTCATTAAGATTGTAATCCTTCAGTAAGCTAAGACAGTCTTCTCTCCGAAATTTCAGAGAACCTTTTCAGGGTTAGAGAAATGGTCACTTTCTATGAGCAACTAGTTTTTTTTATTTTTTTATTTTTTATAGAGACAGGGTCTTGCTGTGTTTCTCAGTCTGGTCTCAAACTCCGGATTTCTCAGGCAGTGCTGCCTCAGCCTCCCAGAGTGCTAGGATTACAGGCAAGAACCACCATGCCTGGCCTCTATGCAACTAATATTTTTATTTATGTGTTTTATGTGAACAGCTAATAATTCTAAATTTAGTAATTGATTTGTACTCTGCATATTTACTTGCTATATTTTAGAGAGAGTGGTCTTTTCACTGTTTCTTTTATTATTAATATGTGGCTTATCAAAATCAGCCTCGTTGCTCATTACTTAAAGATCAACAGATAGCCATAGAATAAAACTAATTTTTATTTGGAGGTTTTCACATTAAATAAATGAAGTTGCTTTCTTTGGTAGTTGATAGAAAGATAGCATAATATTAATAGAAATAAATTCTTAGTAACCCTCAATAACCCTTGTTTTGAAGTAGTTTACAATAGACTTTTCCGCTTCTGGCAATATTGACATTTTGGGCCAGATAATTCTTTCTTAGGAGGTAATGTTCCGTGCACTTAGGACATTTAGCAGCATCCCTGTCTTCTACCCATTAGATGCCAATAGTATTCACTTTCCTCAGTTATGACAACTAAAAAGTTTGCTGCCACCACCAAATATACCCTGGAGATAGGTGGAGGGCAAAATTGTCCCCATTTGAGAGGTGCACTGCTTTACATCTTTATTAGAGTAAGAAAGAAGACAAAACTTTTCCACTCAGATGGAAGTAGCTCTCTCATGAAGTCATTTCACCAGAAGGTGAAAGAGTCTTTATCCACAGTATTTGGATTACTTATCAGCTCTTGTATTTTCTCTAATTTCTGGTAAGAATTCTAGCAGTAGTTTACCTATACATTTAGTTGGAAATAATTCAATTATAAAGAATAAGCCTGAGTATGTACCCATAAAGTTTGACATAATTGTTCTCTTTCACAACGTCTTGGAGGGAGGAGTGTTGAGGTTAGATCAAAGTTATATTTGTATTTTATTTTGTTTTTGTGAAGTTGCTGGTTTTACATTCTAGAGTACGTCTTTGAGTAATAACTATCTTCTGATTTACAAAGATTGAATAACAGGTCAGTTTTTAAGTTTTTTAAGTGACTTGGCATTGAAAATTGAACTTTCCAAATGGCTTTTGTTTTAACAAAGCAAATGACATTTTTCTCTCAATTTTTTCTCTCTGCCCATTTTTAAGATCGATGAAGAATTGGTAACAAATTCTGGGAAATTCTTAATTTTGGATCGAATGCTGCCAGAACTTAAAAAAAGAGGTCACAAGGTGATACTTTTGATTGGAATTTTGGATTGTTCAATTATTTTTTTTATTAATTGTTATAAATATTAAGATGTTTTATTTCAGGTGCTGCTTTTTTCACAAATGACAAGCATGTTGGACATTTTGATGGATTACTGCCATCTCAGAGATTTCAACTTCAGCAGGCTTGATGGGTCCATGTCTTACTCAGAGAGAGAAAAAAACGTAAGACTACTTATGTCATATATCCCAAACGATTCTTTTATAATTCCTATCTTGATTTCTGAAGTAATATTCTAAATAGACCCACAAATTGATAAAAAGATAGAAATGACCAGAAACCCTGTGGTTTTATCAAAAACAAACATTTTGATTTAGTACTAAGAAGTCTTAATTTTTGATTCAAATATATATATCTTCTGGCACAATCTTAATAATAACCTACTTAACCATCACTGTAAGAATATTGGGATAGTAGGAAATTTTTTGTCTTTTTGCCCTGTTCTTAACTTTCTATTGTGAAAATATCAACTGTATGGCAAAGTTGAAAAGAAAAAAAGCAACTGTAAATCCGCCTATAATCTGCTGCTAACATTTGACTATACCTTTTTAAAAACACGTTTCCTGTAATAGTGTTGCTGTGTCCATTCATTTAATCCTATTTTTTTTTTGGTGCATTTTAAAATAAATTATAGATGATACTACCCTTTTCCGTAATGACTTCAGCATATTTTATCTTTTGGGGTAAAATTTACACATACTGAAGCAAATAATGTATACATTTGCTGAATCTTTCTGACAAATGGCATATGTAAATTTATACCTAATCCCTATTAAGATATAGATGTTACCATGAGCCCAGAAAGTTTCCTGTGCCCCCTTCTAGTCAGTTCACCCTCCCAGTCACCCCATGTGTAAAGACAACTACAATTTTTTTCATCATTTTTTGATAACTAGCTTTTCTTATTTAAACATTATTGTGATACATGATTTTTAACAAAATTAAGGTCTCTTTAATATAGGTGCTTGGATGATAAAAGGTAACAGCACAGATTTTGTTAACATAATTGTTTTATATATCTGAATGATTTGTTTGGCCTCCTTTAACTCTTTAATAGTTGTAACAAAACATTTTTCTCCTTGAGTCTTGTTGGTAGATTTCTTTTAATCTGTGGTATTTACATCCTTTTTGCTTTTAGATGCACAGCTTCAACATGGATCCAGAGGTATTTATCTTCTTAGTGAGTACACGAGCTGGTGGCCTGGGCATTAATCTGACTGCAGCAGATACAGTTATCATTTATGATAGTGATTGGGTAAGTTGGATGTACAGAAAGGAATATGCTGATTATATTTCCATTTAGATTTTTTTTTTTTTTTTTTGAAATGGAGTCTCACTGTGTTGCCCAGGCTGGAGTGCAGTGGCATGATCTCGGCTCACTGCAACCTTCACCTCCCGGGTTCAAGTGATTCTCTTGCCTCAGCCTCCCAAGTAGCTGGTACTACAGGTGTGCACCCCCATGCCTGGCTACTTTTTGTGTTTTTAGTAGAGACAGAGTTTTGCCATGTTGGCCAGACTTATCTCAGGTGATCCTTATCTCAGGTGAGTCCTTATCTCAGACTTATCTCAGGTGAGTCCTTATCTCAGGTGATCCGCCCACCTTGGCCTCCCAAAGTGCTGGCATTATAGGCTTGAGCCACCACGCCCAGCCTGCATTCTGAATTTTAAAATTTTTTTGAGATGGATTTTTGTTCTTGTCGCCCAGGCTGGAGTGCAATGGCGCAGACTCGGCTCACTGCCTGTGCCTCCTGGGTTCAAGTGATTCTCCTGCCTCAGCCTCCCAAGTAGTTGGGATAACAGGTTCCTGCCACCATGCCCAGCTAATTTTTGTATTAGAGATGGGGTTTCACCATGTTGGCCAGGCTGGTCCCGAACTGATGTCAGGTGATCCACCCTCCTCAGCCTCCCAAAGTGCTGGGATTACCAGCATTACCAGCATGAGCCACCGCGCCCGGCCATTCTGAATTCTTAATTTTTAATTGTACATGTTACAAATTTACTTATCTATTTTGAAAAGATACCCATTTTCAGCTAAGAGTTATTTCTTCATAAAGTTTTCTGCGTGTAAAAATTGAATTTTTGTTTTTTACTTTTATTTTTAGAGACAGGATCTCACTTTATCACCCAGGCTTGAGTGCAGTGACACCATCACGGCTCAGTAGCCTTGACCTTTTGGGTTCAAGTGATCCTCCCACATCATCCTCTTGAGTAGCTGCGTTTATGAGTATGTGCTACCATGCCCACAAAAAATGTAAAAATTAGTGAGACCACGCCTCACTGTTTTGCCCAGGCTGGTCTTGAGCTTTTATCCTCACATGATTCTCCTGCCTTGGCCTCCCAAAATGCTGAGATTACAGAAGTGAGTCATTGTGCCCAGCCTGAAATGTTTTCTTTAGGGTATTTAAACTTTTTTGTTAATATTGCCAAGGATCTGTAGAATGATAATTTTATCTATGAAGCCACTCTGGAAGTTTAAATTAAGACACCACTATTTAAAAGTTCGTGACTACATTATTCATGTTGAGTTTATCCACATGAGTTTACGTTAATTTTAAGCTAATACCGGTAAATGTTATTTTTCTTTTTAACTTTAAGAACCCCCAGTCAGATCTTCAGGCCCAGGATAGATGCCATAGAATTGGTCAGACAAAGCCAGTTGTTGTTTATCGCCTGGTTACAGCAAATACTGTTGATCAGAAAATTGTGGAAAGAGCAGCTGCTAAAAGGAAACTGGAAAAGCTGATCATCCATAAAAGTAAATAACATGTAGTGCTTTATTGTTTAAATTGTACATTATGTGTTGTGGATTTTTGTAATTGTTTTTATTTTCTTTATGAAATGTTACAGCCTGGGCTGGGTGCTGTGTCTCACACCTATAATCCCAGCACTTTGGGATGCCGAGGTGGGTGGATCACGAGGTCCGGTTTAAGACACCGTTTAACTTTTTTACCCAGGTTGTTCTTGAACACCTGGACTCAAGTGATCATCCTGCCTCAGCCTCTCCAAGTGTTGGGGTTATAGATGTGAGCCACTGTGCTCAGCCTTACTGTCAGTTTTTTAGCAGATTAATTTTGTAGAAAATTTTGAAGGGATTTTTTTAATGCTGACACTTTTCAGTTGAGTTATTACATATATAAAGCAAAATGCACAGATATTAAATGTACAGGTTAATGAAGTTAGACCAGATGTATGTACTCATACGTAACTATTATCCAGATCAGGGTAGCATTTTCATCATCCAAGAAATTTTCTTTTCTTTGTTCACCCTTTCCTGTAATTCCTATGCTCCGCTTAACATCACTAGGAAGCAACCAGTATTCTGATTTTTTTCACATTGTTGAGTCTTTTCTTTGTTTAGCTGTTTCATTGAATATATTTTTTCAGAGTCATCTGTGTTGTTTTTAGTAGAATTTTTTTTTAAAATTGGTGAATAATTAGTTTTTTCCATTCCCTTGTTGGTTAACATTTAAATTATTTCTAGATTCTGGTTATTATGAATAAGCTGGTCCTGTACAAGTCTTTGTGGACATATGCATTTTTTGGTCCTTCATCTTAGGAAGGGTGCGTGTTTAACTACTGGAAACTACCAACCTTTTCCAAAGTGGACGTACCATTTTCCACTCCTACCAGCAAAGCCTGAGAGTTGTATTTGCTTTTATTCTTTATCAACACTTGTTTTTTTGCCATCCTTCTTAATGCAAGCCATTGTGATTGGTTTGTAATATGTTGTGTTGTAGTTTTAAAAGGAATTTTAATGTTTTTAATTTCTCATTTTTTTTAGATCATTTCAAAGGTGGTCAGTCTGGATTAAATCTGTCTAAGAATTTCTTAGATCCTAAGGAATTAATGGAATTATTAAAATCTAGAGATTATGAAAGGTGAGTTTTTAATTTTAGAAAGATTTAATTTGTAGCTTTGAATTATTCACATATACTTGAATATTTTGTTTTCTATAGGGAAATAAAAGGATCAAGAGAGAAGGTCATTAGTGATAAAGATCTAGAGTTGTTGTTAGATCGAAGTGATCTTATTGGTAAGTATCATGCTTTTTCTTAATGGAAGCTTCGAAACATATACATAATTAGCATAATATAATGAATCCCTTTTATAATTCATTCAGCCACACATATCTAATCTTGTTTTATTGTCATTTTTCTTCTCAGAGTATTAAAATCAAATCTCAGACATAATGACATTTTGCCCATAAATGTCATTGTCTTTAACTTTTTCCGTAATTCAGATATTTTCTGTAAACTGGTAAATAACACTTTTGTAAATATATTCAAGTTCCTGTCTTAGTTAAGATTACCAGTGCTTTGTTTTCTTATTTTTCATCATACCAGGAGGCACATCATGTCTGGGTTTCTTATTTCCAGTCAGCTAAGATTAATGAAGATAATATTACAAAATGTCTTGTCAGTCTTTATCCTTTATTTAATATGATGGTTTAGTTTAGTTTAGTTCAGTTCAGTTCAGTTCAGTTTATTTTTGGAGATGGAGTCGCACTCTGTCGCCTAGGCTGGAGTGCACTGACACAATCTCAGCTCACTGCAACCTCAGCCTCCTGGGTTCTAGCAATTCTCCTGCCTCAGCCTTCCCAGTAGCTAGTATTACAGTGGCCTGCCAGCACGCCTGGCTAATTTTTGTATTTTTAGTAGAGACAGGGTTTCGCCATATTGATCAGGCTGGTCTTGAACTCCTGACCTCAGGTGATCTGCCAACCTCAACCTCCCAAAGCACTGGGATTATGGGCGTGAGCCACTGCGCCTAGCCTAACATGATTTTTAGTATCCTTTAAAAATGGTTGATTAGAACCATTATTAACTAAATCATTGCAAAGTGATGATTTTCTTGTTCTGTTATTCTTTTATTAGCTGGATTATTTAAGAACTTTCTCTTACAGTTTTCCTGAGATAGAAGAGAGGCAGGATATATTGCTTCTTTTTTTCATCAGTTTTTAGAATACCACCTTATGATCTGACACCTACAGTGATGACCATGGATTATTTTGAAAACAAAACATTTTCTTATTCTCTGTGGCCTTTCTCTTCACTTTCTTGCTTTTGGTATCTTCTGAAGAGCAAAATTTTTATATTTTGATGAATTCCAGTTTTAACGAATTTTTTCTGTCACTCATGATTTTTGTGTCATGTCTAATTACTCTTTTCTTAATTCAAGGTGTTGATATTTTCTTTTAACAGTTTTATAGTTTTTGCTCTTACATTTAGGTCTATGATCTATTTTCAGTGAATTTTCATCTTTTTGCATGTCAATATCTATTTGTTAGAAGTTGTTCCTTTTTTTGTTGGATTGCCTTGTCATCCTTGATGAAAATCATTTGATCATAAATATAAGGTTTTACTTCTGTATTCTCAATTCTGTTCGTTGATCTCTGTGGTATTCCTATGCCAGTATTGCACTGATTTAATTAAGGTAGCTTTATGGGAAGTGTACTTTCTCTGGTTTTGTTCTTTTTTGAGATTGTTTTAGATATTCTGGATTATTTGCATGTTTATTTGAATTTTAACTTTGAAATGGTTTAGGGAGAAATATGAGAAATACAGCATTATGGTCAAATCTTAAATATATTAAAAAACAACATGTGAGGTATGTAAGGGCTGTTTAACATCTGATAATATTAATACAATCCATATTAATTAAATAATGGAGAACTAGATGATCACCTAATTAGATACCAAAAACCAACTTGCCATAACATCATAATCATCTTCATAATTTTTTTGGTTTGAGACAAGGTCTCGTTCTGCCGCGGAGGCTGGAGTTCAGTGGTGTGATCATGGCTTACTGCAACTTTAACCTGCTGGGGGCAGTCAATCCCTACACCTCAGCCTTCGGAGTTAATGGTACTGCAGGTGTGATTGCTACACCCTGCTAATTCTGTTTTGTGTATTTTGTAGAGACGGGTTTGCCATGTTGCTCAAGATGGTCTCACACTCCTGGGCTCAAGTGATCTGTCTCCCTTGGCCTCCTAAAGTGCTGGCATTATTGAAATTGCTTTTATTTGCAAGTTTTCTCGTTTGATTATCTTCATTGGAAGTCCAAGGGAATCCAGAATTTTTTAAAACAGAATTTAAGAAGATTGCTTATTAATAATATGTGTAACAGCAGTAATTGTTTAATAATGAGGGTTTTTACAACAGCTACAAAACTACCATGCCTACGATTAAAGTTTAACAGTTTTTAACACGTTTATGTAAGGACAAAATTATGCAACATTGAAAGACATTAATAGAAAGATGGAGTAAACATACAGATTTAGCTGTATTTGTGGATATGAATGGTTACTACAAAGTATAAGTCAGTGTTCCCCAAAACTAACTTATATTCTTGAATTTTTCTTCTAATTAAAATCCTAGAATGACGACCAGGTGCGGTGGCTCACACCTATAATCCTAGCACTTTGGGAGGCTGAGGCAGGTGGATCGCCTGAGCTCAGGAGTTCGAGACCAGCCTGGGCAACACGGTGAAGCCCTGTCTCTACTAAAATAGAAAAAATTAGCCGGGCATGGAGGCATGTGCCTGTAATCCCAGCTACTCGGAAGGCTGAGGCAGGAGAATTGCTAGAACCTGGGAGGTGGAGGTTGCAGTGAATGGAGATTGTGCCACTGCACTCCAGCCTGGGTGACAGAGCGAGACTCCGTCTCTTAAAAAAAAAAAATCCCAGAATGACTTTTTGTAAGACAGACTGTTGTTAAAATTTATATGAAAGAGTAGTAAAGGGCCAGAACCAAGACAGTTTTGAAAAACAAGGTATTGTATATCGGGTATAAAGTCTTATTAAAAATTAAATAGTCATAATAATCAGATGGTAGAATTAGCACATGGTGTGATACATTGGCTAGAAGTATAATATGGTGAATCTAGAAGGGCAACTTTCGTGAAAAGCTAGTAAATGTCAAATGGAATTTCAAACCACTGATAGGAAATTCCAATTAATCAGTAGATGATCTGGGGAAATAGTAATTAATAGGGGAAAAATTAACTTAGATTCTCCTTACCTCACAATACACTTACAAACTTCAGATTGAGCAATCCATGTGTTCAAAACCTAAATATTAAAGGTAGAATTTTAACCAGAAAGATAGGAAAATATATTTATGATTTTAGAATTAGAAAGTAATTCTTTATAATACAGAAATCACAAATTATATGATAGGTTTTATAGATTTTAATTACATTAATAGGAAAGACTACTATAAAACAGATGCCACCATAAAGAGATAAGAGAGAAGCCACAAATAATATTTGCAACATATAACAAGAAGTGTTTAGGATATGCAAGTAAATAAAAGTTGATAATAAAAATGGATAATATAAGAGCAGGCTGTTATCAAGAGAGAAAGAAATGTCTAATGAACATACAAGGATGATTAGAAATCAGTAATACAAATTAAAATCAGAGATTTCATTTCACAGCTGTCATGTTGATAAAAATTTAGGAGACTTCATATTGTCATTGATTCAAAATGTTTCTCAAGGTAAGCTTTTCATACTGTGTTTTCAGCTTTTAAATGAACCATGAATGGGCCTCTTTTTAAAACATTTCTGAAAGCATGATTCAAATTGATGTTGTTTATTGCTCTTTAACTTGTTTATCTTACCTTAAATTCAGCAAAAGAGATTTTGACTAGCAAACTGATGCTTTAGATTGTATGCTCCCAAGAGGCTGATTCTAGTTGTTGTATTAAGAATAGGGTACCTTTTTGCTTTCACTGCTATTAAATCTTGGTGATTAAGGAAGACAGTACCCTATATTACTGTGAGTTTTGTAATTTTGGATAGATGACTCACTTCTGATAACATTATATTGGATGTTTCTTTTACGATTTCTTCTTCTTATACTTCTAAAATGTACCTGTTTTAATATTTTTCCCTTAGATCAAATGAATGCTTCAGGACCAATTAAAGAGAAGATGGGGATATTCAAGATACTAGAAAATTCTGAAGATTCCAGTCCTGAATGTTTGTTTTAAACTGGAGCTCAAAAATAGATTTTAAGTTTATGTTTACGTCTAGTGATTTCCCTGTATTGGGTTTGAAATATTGATTGTCCACTTCACCTTTTTTATTATATCAGTTGACATGTAACTAGTACTATGCGTACTTAAATAGAGGGTAATTTTCTGAGCCTTACCAAGAACAAAGAAGTACTCATATTAAGTTTAGATTTTCAGTTAATTTTTGAGACTGAGTAGTATTCTTGGATACAGGCTGATGTGTACTTAACTACTTCCAGATTTATACAGTCTTCCTGTGGAAGTTTAGTAAATGTCTTTTTCCCTCCTTTCTTCTAGTAATGCAGTTCATGGGTACTTCAGTTATGAAGTAGGCTTTTCATGGGGAGAGATTGGGGTTATGCTCTCTATTGTTTAAGACATTGTTTGATTTTAGAGTCTATTTCTGTGAGATAGTTTACCAAATAAATGTTCCTTATAAGATGATCTCATTAAATTATTTTTTCAGGAATAGCTTAGGTGCAATAATAGCAAAAGACTTGACTGTCGGTAGGATTTGATTATTTTACTTTCTTGGTTTCATTCACTAGTACTATAGGAGTGTGTCATATAAAAGATTTCAAGTGGACGTTCTGTTAGCACAAGAGAAGTTTCTGAATGAAACTTTAGGGCGTTGACAAATGACTAGAAATTGGAAATGGTAGTATATCATGCAAAACAAGACAGATCCTGAAAATTTATAGTGGTTAACTAGAACCAAATAGAAGAGAACAGGCCTTAGGAGTATGTAAGTAATGCAAAATCCGTAATAGAACAGCATAAAGGCCAAAAGGGGTACAATTTAGACCCTGTGTGAAAGGATATCAGGCAGTGAGGAAGAGAAATCCTGAATGTACCCTGGAGAGGGGACATACTCCATGAGCCATACATTTCTGCTGGTGTTTATTTCATGGAAAAATATTGCTGTTGCCATCCATATTCAAATGTAGATCAGATGATCTGTTTGGGATAATGAAACTGTCACTTAAGAAAAACTTAAATTGTTTTTCTCCTGTGTCCTGTTTGCACAGGTCTTTTTTCTTTAAAATTTTTATTTCAGTAGTTTTGGGTTACAGGTGGAAAGTTTTGGTTATATGGATAAGTTCTTTGGTGGTGAAGAAAAACTTCAGATAGAACATTTGGTTAAATAAAAGACTATAGAGCAGGTTTATTTGTTTTGTAAGTGAAAATGTTAACCCATCACATAAGCATGCAGACCTAGGCTTGCTTGAAACTCGTGATCTTGTCCTTAGCGACCCAGTCTTTTCTGTTACATTGTCCTAAATGACTGATTTCATAGTTTTACTCTGTCATTGCATGTCTCATATCTTCTCCCTCTCACTTTGCTCCCTATTGCCCTGAGAAAATAGACACAATCAGAAAAGAATCTTTAAAAGTTGTCACCATTGCATCTGTAAACCTAGCATCTATGCCTATCTGTCCTTTATTATATACTATGGATATATTGTTTGTCCTAGCTTGAGCCAATTGCAATGTCTCATTTCTTTCATACCAAAACTCCTTGAAAAAGAATTCTATTATCGCAAAACTCCTTGCCTGTATTCATTGTTTTTAGTTTGTTCTGTGTTTTTTCTGAACCAATTCCAATCAGATATTCATTTCCATTGGAGCTGTTTTTTTTTTTTTAAGGTCTCGTGACGTCAGTGAATTCATTTTACTTGATCTATTAGCAGCATTTCATACAGTTGTTGACTCTTCTCCATTAAAACACTTACTTTATTTGGCTCCTAGCAAACATATTTGCTTGCTTTTTCTTCCTATTTCTCTGACTCTTTTCTCAATTTCCTTTGCTGTTTCCTTTTCTGTCCTCTAAATATTGGAATATCCTAAGCCTAGTTTGGGATTCCCTTGATGGTCTTCATTTCTTTAATAGGAGCTGTGCTGATGACTCAAATTTATATATCCAACCAGAACCTTTCTCCTGAATTCCAGATTCAAATATCCAACTGTTTACTAGGTGCTTTATAACTGTATCTGTACTTTTCATCTTGTTTAATCCGAATTTGCTTCTTTTGCATTTTCCTTAGTTCAATAAATGACAACTTTATTCTTCCAGTTGTTTAAACCAAAAATCTTGTCTTCTCTTTCTTCCCTCACATTTCACATTTCACATCTGATTCTGAAGGAAATCTCGTCTATACTTTTTCTTTTTTTTTTTTTTTTTCCTTTTTTTGAGTCTCACTCTGTTGCCCAGGCGGGAGTGCAGTGGTGCAGTCTTGGCTCACTGCAACCTCTGTGTCCTGGGTTCAAGCGATTATCCTGCCTCAGCCTCCTGAGTAGTTGGGGTTATAGGCGCATACCACCATGCCTGGCTAATTTTTATATTTTTAGTAGAGACTAGGTTTCACCGTGTTGGGCAGGCTGGTCTCAAACTCCTGACCTTGTGATCTGCCCACCTTGGCCTCCCAAAGTGCTGGGATTATAGGCATGAGCCACCGCATCCGGCATTTTTTTTTTTTTTTTTTTCATAGAATCTCAGTTCGTCACCTGGGCTGGAATACAGTGGCGTGATCTTGGCTTGCAACATCTGCCCCCCGGATTCAAGTGATTCTCATGCCTCAGCCTCCTGAGTAACCGGGACTAGAGGTGTGCGCCACCACGCCTGGCTAATTTTCTTATTTTTAGTAGAAACGTGGTTTCACCATGTTGGCTAGGCGGGTCTCGAACTCCTCACCTCAAGTGATCCATCTGCCTCGGACTAAGTGCGGGGATTACAGGCGCGAGCCATTGCGCCCAGCCTACTTTCTATAAATGTCATCCTGTCCCTAACCCCCCACCACCACCTCCCGTACCCTGCATAATCTGTTTCATTTGGTTCTTCCCTTAGTTTGGTGTTTTGTTTTGATGTGTCTTCTTTAGATGCCTTGGGATCATTTACTGTTCCTCAGATTTAAGAACAAATACTTAAAAGTTCTTAGAAATACCTTCTTGAAAAGCCTGCATTCCTACCATCTCTCACCACTTCAACATGAAATAATGATCCCTTACATCTTTTTAATAATAATTTTTGATTGACTCAATAGTTTTATTATGGCTCTGTAAGTATTATTAAAGCTTTAGATAAGCCATGGAATATGCTATGGTTTTTTCATTCTTGTGCAGCTTTTTCTTTTTCTCCTTGAAGTTAATACTTACTTTTTTTTTTAACCTATCAGTAATTTATATCTAATTTCTCTGGAAGTATAAACCTCTCATTATATTAAAACAGATCTCGTGATTCAGTAATAAACCTCCCCCTCCAAATATATCCCATCATCTCTACTCCCTGGAACATTCTTCTAGTTTGGACTGTAGAACTGATTCCATCTGCAACCTTCGTTTACCATCATGTTGGGTATTCCTGTTGGCTGTTTCATGTTTTGGAACTACTGTTAACTGCGTCTCACTTTTGTTTTCTTTTTTTTTCCTTTAAGACGGAGTTGCACTCTTGCTGCCCAGGCTGGAGTGCAGTGGCTCGATCTCGGCTCACTGCATCCTCTGCCTCCCGGGTTTAGGCTATTCTCCTGCCTCAGCCTCCTGAGTAGCTGGAATTGCAAGTGCCTGCCACCATGCCCAGCTAATTTTTGTATTTTTAGTAGAGACGGTTTCACCATGTTGGCCAGGCTGGTCTCGAACTCCTGACCTCAGGTGATCCACCATCCTCGGCCTCCCAAAGTGCTGGTATTACAGGTGTGAACCACCGCTCCTGGCTGGATCTCACTTTTTTCCTCCTTGGTTTACTCCCTCATTTTGATGGATTGTATTGTCTTGTGTTTTCCTGAGAAAAGGATTCAAGAGAAATGAATATTTTGAGAACTCAGAGAAAATCTGGATGTATTTTTGTTGAATTCCTACATTTAATGGATAGTAGTTTTGGTTTGAGATTTTAGATTAGGAATTATTGTCTTCTCAGAATTTTGAAAGTTACTGTGTTGTCTCTGAACTTCCAGTGTTGTGGGAGAGAAAATTAATGATACCCCCTTTTTTTTTTTTTTTTTGGAGACAGGGTCTCATTCTGTCACCCTGTCACCCAGGCCTAAATATAGCTCACTACAGCCTTGACCTCTCAGGCTCAAGTGATCCTCCAGCCTCAGCCACCAGTTTAGTTTGGACCACAGCCATGCACCAAATTCCCTGCTAAGTTTTTAATTTTTCTGTGGAGACAGGGTCTCGCCATTTTGCCCAGGCTGGTCCTGAACTTCTGGGCTCAAGAAATTCCCCGCCGCTTGGCCTCCTAAAGGGCTGGGATTGCAGGTGTGAGCTCCTGCACCTGGCCCCCGAATGCCCCCTAATGCCACTTTGATTTCCAGTCTGTTGAATGTTGGGGGAATCTGCCTTTTGTTAATGTGAGCTTCTAATGTTTGTCTTTTGTATTTTAAATTAATAATGTGTGTCTTTGATATGGGTCTTTTTTTTTTTTCTGTTTTTTTAAAGAGACTTCTGCTATGTTGCACAGACTTGATTTGAATTCCTGGTGTCAAGTTATCTTTCCTTCTCAGTCACTAGAGTAATGTGGACTACAGACATGTGACACCATGCCCATCTTTATGTTGTGTATCTTATTTTTGTTTTGTTTTACCCTTGAAAAAGCTCAGGCTGAAAATCTGTCTTTCAATTCATGGGAATTTTTTAGAATGACTTCTTGGAGGCTTTTGTCTTTTGAATGTGTGATCCCTTCTCTGCCTATAACTTTTTTTTCTTTCTTTTTTTTTTATGAGACATGGTCTTGCTGTTGTCCAGGTTGGAGAGCAGTGGTGCAATCATAGCTCACTACATTCTTGAACTTCTGGGCTCAAGCCGTCTTCCCACCTCAGCTTTCAGATTATCTGGGGCTACAGGCATGTGCCACTATGCCCAGATAATTAAAAAAAATTTGTAGAGATAGGGTCTTGCTATGTTGCCCAGGTTGTTTTTGAATTCCTGTCCTCAAGAGGATCCTTCTACGTTTGCTTCCCAAAGCATTGGTATTATATGTATGAGCCACCACCACCAGCGCTTCTGCCTAGAACTTGTAGCAAACTTTCTTTACCCCGTCTGCATAGTCTGTTTCATTAAATGATTCTTCCCTTTTTTTAGTCTGTCTTTTATTTTGATGCTTCTTCAAATGCCTGGGGATCGTTTACTGTTCCTCAAATTTAAGAGCTAGAAGAAATCTCTCTAAGCTCCATGCATGAGGGTTCTCAATGGTGGATTTTACTCCAGTGTGAATTCACTAGACCATTTATTTGAGGGTCACCGAATTGTCAGTATGTGTATATGAGAGAGAATATGTACATATATATCTGAGAGAAATTCTGTAATCACTTGTCCTGTGTGAGTATATGTACTTCGCCAGTTTTCTTTTGGGGTGAGGAGGAGGGACAGTATATTAAGAGAGTTTACTATTCAAAATGTAGACTTGCTCAGTTTTCAGTAAAATACTGTACCCTGTTTATATCTGGATTCCCCTATTCCAGACATCCTCTGATTCACCCTTTTCAGGGAGTTAATAGTGACATTTCTTCCATTGTGAGGGGGAGTGGTAATCACTTCACAGGGAGGTAATGGGGCCAGTGTTTTTTAGTGAAAACCTCTATCTAACACTGAGACTTTCATTTCTCGTCTGTTGAGTCAGTTAACACTGATACATTTATTTTTCAGTTCCCAAAATCTTACTTTGCCTTTGCTTTTGTTTTATTGTCTGGAGGTGTTTAACACCTGTTTCATTTTTTACAGTCATTTTAGTTTCCAGATTTTAGTAAGGGACAGAGGGGAAGGAATAGATGGACTCATTTCATGATATAGAAACAAATAGTCCCTCTCTTGTCTTACATGAAAAATTATTCTTAAACCAGGCCTTGTCTTTCAGAACCTGATCAAAGTATAAAAAATACTTTTTAGCTTTATTTCTTTAATGAGTCACTATTCCATATTTTGAAGGTGTTAAGAGGTATGGTGAAGATGGTACTTGAACATTTCCAAGCAAACGTGTGATGAAATCTTTCATCAATGTCTTAGCAATTGTATATGATTTTTTTAGTCTTAGCAATTTGAGGTAAGTTTTTGTGGTTTTGTTTTTTTTTGAGATGGAGCCTTGCTCTGTCGCCCAGGCTAGAGTGTATTGGCACGATCTCGGCTCACTGCAGCCTCTGCCTCCCAGCGGGGTCCAGCGATTCTCCTGCCTCAGCCTCCTGGGTAGTTGGGATTACAGATGCATGCCACCACACCTGACTGAGTTTTGTATTTTTAGTAGAGACAGGGTTTTGCCATCTTGGCCTGGCTGGTCCCGAACTCCTGATCTCAGGTGATCTGCCCAACTCGGCCTCCCATAGTGCTGTGATTATAGGCGTGAGCCACTGTGTGTGGCCTGAGGTAAGATTTTATAAGAAGCCTACAAAGCCCTAATTTTAACATTAAGAACATTAAGTGCTTCTGATAGTTTTAAGTTCTGTAGTCTTTATTTCAAAGAATTATTTCGTTCTGAATTTCTATTTAAATTAGTCTAGAATATGTTTATAAATTTATTTACATTTGGTTGAAATATATTCTTAAAACTTATTCCTGAGCTTATGTCCACAGGTTCCAGTTTGAGGATAAACGAGGTCTAAAGACGGAATTAACTTGTTCATAATTTTTCCTGTTCTTTTTAGAAATCCTAGGTATCCTTAGGCTAATGAATCTATAGATTGGCCCTGCAAGCATGTCACTGGATTTTTTTATGTCTTCTTGAGTCTTAGCACTTTAAATTCCTCTATATCCTTCACTGTCTTTCTTACAGCACCCTAAAAGAGTAGCATGTGAACTATTGCTCTTCTCTAAGGTATTTTAGGACATTCAAAAAATAATATATGATTGGTTCTCTTCATGCTAAATATTCTACCACAACTCATACAATTAAAGTGGTCAAAGAAAGGTCTGTTTCATTTCTGTTTTCAGTTTAAAAAGAAATGTTATTTGTAAAATAGTATAGTCATAACACAAATATGGCAGTTTTTTAGTGTTTTTTTTCTTTTTCTTTTTTTGTGAGACGACTTCTCACTGTCATCCAGGCAGTAGTGTGATTGTAATTCACTGCAGTCTCCAACTCCTGGGCTCGAGGGATCCTCCCACTGAGCCTCCTGAGCAGCTGGGACTGCAAACGTGTGCCAGTACCTGGCTAATTTTTAAATTTCTTTGTAGAGCTTAGGTTTTTTGTTTGTTTGTTTTTTAAAAAGCTTTGTTTGCGCAAACTGTTGTCCAGGCGGCTCCAATTTCTGACCTCAAACAATCTTCCTGCCTTGGCCTCCCAATTGCATAAGCTACCACACCCAGCCCACAGTTTTCTTTTAGTACAATACAAAAATCTTGTCAGCGCTAGCTTAATTTACACTGTCTGTATCCAACTTTTTTTTTTTTTTTTTTTTGAGATGGAGTTTCTCTCTTGTTGCCCAGGCTGGAGTGCAATGGTGTGATCTTGGCTCACTGCAACCTCCGCCTCACAGATTCAAGCGATTTTCCTGCCGTCTTCTGAGTAGGTGGGATTACTGGCATGCATGTGCCACCACGCCCAATGAATTTTGTATTTTTAGTTAGAGACGAGGTTTCTCCATGTTGGTCAGGCTGGTCTCGAACTCCCGACCTCAGGTGATCCACCCACCTCAGCCTCCCAAAGTGCTGGGATCACAGGCGTGAGCCACTGCGCCCAGCATATATCCACCTCTTTACCATCCACATTAGCATTTCATAAGCTTCTGTTTGCCCTCTTAGTTAATAACCCCATCCCACGGTGAATCACTTTAGTAATCCGTATTACAATGGATTAGTTCTGCATAGCAAAAACTATGATAGGTGTGTTAAATAATGAAGTTTGGGGAATGTTAATAAGACGATTTGTCTTACTATAGATGAAATACTTGGTAAGAGAATCCCTGGTGAGATCAGATCAGTTACATGTATATCTTGCCTCTCTTAAGTCTCTACTATTTATTACTAGACTTGAGTTAGGATTTGGGAGTGCCACTGAACACTAAAATTATTCTGAGTATTTGAATGGTATGAGAAAAAAATCCATTTTAATATTTTATCAAGTTGAGATGTCTCACGTGAACTAGTTAGTGCTGAGAATCAGACACAGGCACATTTGGGAGCATGGGGTGGCAAGCAGCTTTGCTTTGTCCTGTTCATGTTGTACTCATACTTGTTTCTACATTTTTCATTGATGTCTCTTCGTACTAGCACTAGGGCACAGGAGAAGCTGTACTGGAATATTATACTGCTCAGCACGAGACAGGTTGAATCTTTTCTTGGGGTACAAGATTGGAAAATTGAGTTCTGAGCAGACCTGAAGAGAGGTCTGCAACTCAGATTAAATTCATCATTGATTAATTCATTGTTGTTTGGAACTGACGTTTAGCTGTGTTCCTCACTCAGATACGTGCATTGATAGCTGCTTGCTAATTTGGTCTTAGCTCACATTTCACCTAGAATATATGATCTCCCTCTTCCCCACTGTTGCTGATCTGTCTGCCTCATAATTTCCGTGAGATTGAGCATCTGGTCTGTTTTGTCACCACTATATAATAGCATGTTGGAAACAAAGCAGTAATAAAGCTAGAAAAACCAAGCGAATACACTGGATTTTAAAAAATACTGTTTCCTAGAATTAAAAAAATAAATGAGGCTGGGCCTGGTGGCGCCTGTAATCCCAGCAGTTTGGGAGGCTGAGGCGGGTGGATCACGTGGCCGAGATCGTGCCACTGCACTCCAGTCTAGCTACAGAGCAAGACTTTGTTTCTTTAAAAAAAAAAGACCTCATTGGGATAGTTTATTAACTGTTAAACAGAAAACTTAAGAAATTCCCCACACATGTATACATTATAGAGCAAATAAGAGCATCAAAGACAATCTTCCAGATCTTTCAGAGAAAGGTCACCTACAAAGGAACATCGATCAGATAATAGATTTTTGTTTTGTTTTGTTTTCAGATGGAGTTCCACTCTTCTCGCCCATACTGGAGTGCAGTGGCGCAATCTTGGCTCACTGCAGTCTCCGCCTCCCAGGTTCAAGCAGTTCTGCAGCCTCAGCCTCCGAGTAACTGGGATTACAGGCGCCCACTACCATGCCCAGAATTTTTGTATTTTAATTAGTAGAGATGGGGTTTTGCCATGTTGGCCAGGCTGGCCTTGAACGTCACCTCAGGTGATCTGCCCGTCTAGGGCCTTCCAAAGTGGTGTGATTACAGGACATGAGCCACTGCACCTGGCTGATAACAGACATTTTAATAGTAAGATAAAAAGTAAAATTTCCAATGTGTCGAAGGAAGAAAATTACAGCCTAGAACTTTTATCTTCATGTACATTATTTAAGTGTGAGGTAATAGTTTCAGTGACATTATGTCACTGAAGACCTTAGAAGATTCTCTCGCTAAAGAAGATAAAGTGACTGACACAACATGTATTTCTCTGAGTAATTAGAAGTGTTCTTTTCTGGCTGTACTGAAGAGACTTTAATGATTTCTTCATGTTTTTATACTCTTAGTTTATAATATTGCATAGTAGCTAAGGCCTGGCTCTAGCAATTATAAATTGTTCTGCAAGTGCAGGCAGTAATAGTTAATCCTGCCTGAAGGATGTGGGGTTTATATGGGTTAGTGCACAAAAGGACATTTATTAAATTTAGTCATAATCATCTCAAAGACATGGTAAATTAAAGAGTGTACATAAAGTACTTCATGTAATGTCTGCCACTTAATGTTCAATAAGTCAAAGAGACCACCACCACTACTACATTTTACTTTTAATAGTAATTAATAGTAATTCAGTGATAATAGGTATACTACCAAAGAAAGTAAACAGAGCCAAAATTCAAACCATAGAATCATTTTACTGTGCTTTTATTCCACCTCAAACACTAATCTCCAGTCCTTGGATAACGGCATTATTTCTCTGAAGGGGAAAGATACCTCTTTTTGCCCAAGTCACACTTGTCTCATTTCTTATACTGTAAACATGTGGTTCCAATTCTGAGGTATTTTCCTGACTTGTAGGACCCAAAAAGAAATTAGGCTTGAGAAATTTTAAGTGAAGAAAACAATTCTAGTTAAGAGTGATTGGATCTTCCTAAAAGCTGACATGGGACTGAAAATTTTGAGGAGAGGGAAGACCTTTTATGGCATGTAATAGGAAGAAGACCTGGATTTTAGTTACTGCTCTGTCTGATGTCCCAACTTGGGTAAGGCAACATATGTAAATGTCAGTTTCTTCGAATCTGATGAAGCTGATAATCCATGCTCAGCTTCCTTCATGGGTCTCTTGCCTATCAAGGTACAGTATGTGAAGATACATTGCAGATTATTTCATGCATTGCTTCAGGGGATGATTAAACCATCCTTTATTACAGCCAGAGTCTAGTCTAAGGGAAGAAGGTTATTCTCTATACCAGTGAAGGATTCATCCAAACCAGTGTTTGGAGGCATAGTCATAATTGAAAATCGATTATTTTTGTTATCTGTAAAACAGGTAAATAGTATGAATCATCAGGTGGTTGTGAGGATTAAATGATACATGTAAAAAAAAGAAAGCTTTGGATAGTACCTATTATAAGAAACTCAGTGTTGTTACAATGTATGTATTATAATGGAATTTAAATTTACGCTAACCAGCTATCACAGGCAGAAAGAAAGGAAGTTAATGTATCTCTTGATCACCATCATGATGTGGTCTGGAAACCTCAAGATCCTTTTCAGAGAATACGTGAGATCACAATTTTCATACTGGCACTATGATGCTATTTGCCTTTTCCTCATTTTCACAAGTGAACAGTGGAGTTTTCCAGAAGCTACATAATGTCATGACATCACTGATGGGTAATAGAATGTGTGCTTGTATATTCAGAAACTTTCAGCTCCAATTTCTTCGATCAATATAATCCTCATAAATAAAAGTTACTTGAGGACCTCAGACATTTTAAAAAATGTAAAGGGGGTGTGGTCAGGCTCAGTGGCTCATGACTGTAATCCCAGCAGTTTGGAAGGTTGAGGCGAACGGATCACTTGAGGCCAGGAGTTTGAAACCAGCCTGGTCAACATGGTGAAACCCCATCTCCACTAAAACGTTTTCTGGGTGTGGTGGCACACATGCCTATAATCACAGCTGCTTTGGTGGCTGAGGCACGAGAATCGCGTGAACCCAGAAGACAGGTTGCAGTGAGCCAAGATTGTGCCACTGCACTCTAGCCTGGGCCACAGTGAGACTGTCTCAAAAAATAAAGTTGTACAGAGATTGTGTATTTGACAACTTGGTATGTAGGATGTGCTACCTCTAATGTTCCATGCTGTTAGTTTTCACTCACTACTGTATTTTGAAGTTTTGTTCATATTGCTCTGTGTACATTTAATTCTATAGTGTATATCCACCACATTTAACTTACTTACAGAAGTATGCAAGAATTTCTCTGGTAAATTTCACTAAGTACTTACGGGTGTCTTTTCAGAACGATTGTATGAGTTTACACCCCTACCAGCAGGACTGAGTACCCATTTCCTCACATCCTTGCTAGTACTTAATTTGACTTTCTAATTTTTACCATTCTCGTAATGTGGCATATTGTTCAATTTTGCATTTCTTCCATTTTATTTTTTCGCATCTCTGCTTTTTTTTGGTCAGTTTTGCCAGTTCTGCCTATTATATTAATCTCCCAGAATCAGCTTTTAGTTTTGTTAAATCTCTGACATGTTTCGTTGATTTCTGCTTTCATCTTAAACATTTCTTCTTTGTTAATTTGTGTTTCGTCTAAAATAAGCAACATCTTAAATTCTTGATTTGCTTTTGATGTTTATTCTCTAATAAGATATTTAAAGATACAATTTTTTCCCTAAATGCTCTATTAGACTTCTCTTTAAGTTTTGACTGGTAGTGTTTTCATCGTTGTTTAATTTTGTGTTTTTTAACTTCTTTCATGATTTCCTTTTAATCAAAGGGTTTCTTAGATATTTAGTTTGCTGGTATATTCTTTTAAAATTGTCTCATTGCTTTCTTTCTATATTGGATTATTGTCAGATAACATAATTTGCATGATGTTAACTTTTTGGAGTATGTTGTTGCATCTTTGTGGCCTAGTACATGGTTAACTTAGTGAATGCTTCCATTTGTACTTGAAAAGAATGTATATTTTCTGGTTATTGAGGGTGAATTCCTCTTTTCCTGTTTAATAAATACATGGCTATATATTTGCTTATGTTTTGACTGCTCAGTTAATTATTTTCTGAGAAATATGTGTTAAAGGCTCCATATTTCTGTACACAACTGATATTTGCTTATTTCAAGGTCTTTTTAGTAATGGGTGACGTACAGAGAAAGTAGAGCTGGCTCACCCATCACTTGGGTCAAACCCTCTATCTTTAAACAGTTGCTCATATGCAGGTGGACGCATCATTGAAGCTTTTCTTTCTTTGGGCACCAGAGTCATGGATAGATTCAGGCCCCAAAGGACCCCTCGGTACTTCCTGGGACCTTGGGCTCTGTCCTGAACTTCTGTGTCCCGAAATACTGCTTGAGTCTTGAGTCATGGGACTCAAGTCCTGGAGGTCCCGTCCCCAGACAACCTCCAGTTCCTGACATCATAGGAGACCATCACTCCCTCCAGCCCTCAGTAAGTGCATTTTCAGTGTACAGTTACATGAATTTTGACAATTTTTTATATCTATAAACTACTTGTAATTTTACTTATCTATAAAATGTCTTTATATATCTATAAGCTACCTATAATTTATATTTACTTATGTATATATGTTTGTATAACGACTGATAAAACCTAGATACAGATCATTTCTGTTATCCCCAGTTGTTTCCTTGTGTTATAATCTAGTCAATCCCTGCCCTACCTCCAGCTTCAGGAGCAACCACTGATGGGGATTCTTTTCCTCCAGTATAGATCAGTGATTCTCAATTGGGTGATTTTGTCCTCCAGAGGACATTTGTCAAGATCAGGAGACATTTGGTTGTTAAAACTGTAGAGTGCTGTTGTAATCCAGTGGGTAGATGCTAAACGTAAAGCACAGGACAACCCCTCACAACAATGATGCAGTCCAACAGGGTGGTTTGAGGTCACAGAAAGGTGTGAACACAAGGAGGTGGGAATCACGGAGGCCACCTTCAAGTCTGTTTGCCACGTACCGCATTCTCTGTCTCCTTTCTTTCTGAGATTCTAACTTTAGATCTTTTGGATATATCTCATTCACTGCTTTAGTCTTCTCATTATTTATTTTTTTCTCTGTGCTCAGTTTGAGATTTTTTGACCTGTTTTCTAATCTCATATATAACTGGAAATTATATAATCTCCCAGTTTGTTGGTAAAATCCATTCAATGAGTTCTTAATTTCACATGTTTCATTGTTCAGTTCTAGAATGCTTATTTAATGCCTGTTAATATTACCAGCTGAAATTGTTTATCTTCTAATTGCTTTTCTCTTTTTTTTAAACAACATATTACTCATGAGGGGTGGGTGTCTTCAATCCCATCAGGGTTATTGGGTTCGGATTAGGTTGAAATCTTGGTAAAACTCAGTTCACCTCTAGTTTATCTCTTTTTTTTGAGACGGAGTCTCACTCTGTCGCCCAGGCTGGAGTGCAGTGGCGTGATCTGGGTTCACTGCGAGCTCCGTCTCCCGGATTCACGTCATTCTCCTGCCTCAGCTTCCTAAGTAGCTGGGACTACAGGCGCCCGCCACCACGCCTGGCTTATTTTTTGTATTTTTTAGTAGAGAGGTGGTTTCACCATGTTAGCCAGGATGGTCTTGATCTCCTGACCTTGTGATCCGCCCACTTTGGCCTCCCAAAGTGCTGGGATTGCAGTTGTGAGCCATTGCGCCTGGCCTAGTTTATCTCTTTTCTATGAGCATGGTTCTCCTTGGCTTTTGATTTATAGTCTTGTGAGTCTCTGGCTCCTTATCCCTGAAGGACTAATTTAGTTTTGCCATTTAGAGGTTTTGATCTAATTGGCTCTTGAGCCTTGGGTTTCCCTGCATCTTCAAAATCTGGCAAGTGTCTTGAGGTGGAGGACTCTTAGTAGAATCTTGTTTTTTAAGTAATTTGAGATTATGGGAAATTTCACTCTTTTTAGAGGCCACCAGTCTCACTTTTTGATTTGTAGCCACAGAATTCAGCAAATGTCCTGTGGAGAAAACTATATGTATTACGAATTTGTCAAAGTTTAAATTTGTCATGCCAGACTCAGAAGCAGCCAAAAACCCTGCTGATCTTTTTTTCTCTTCTAGAGATCCTCTCTCTGGACCAATCCTGCCTGATCTACACACACACACACACACACACACACACACACGCACGCATGCACGCACACGCACATGTTCAAACTTACTCAAATCGTTTATATCATTTCTTATGTGAACTGCTTGATTTTGAGGGAGGTTTTAAAAATATTTTATCTTGATTATGGATGTACAGAATTTCTATTTTGCCAGTTTTTTGCTTTTCGTATGTTGAAGCCATGCTGTCAGGTGCTTTAAGGCACACAATTGTTATATAATTTGACAAAACAGTCTTTATCCTTAGTTCTCTCTCTCAGGCCTTGTTAATGTTATTCATTTTAATTTGCTTAATAGTAGTAGTGTTATCCCATTTTCACTTGTTTAGTTTTTATCAGAAATACATTTTTTCATTTCTTAATTTTCAGTACTTTAGTTCCATCCGTTATAAACAGCATTATTTTAGTTTTAACCAGAAGATTTATAGATTTCTCATGACTGTTATATTTTCACTCTTTTGTGGCTCAGTTTTTCCTTCTGTTGGAGTTCTATGAGATTTTTTTCATCTCCTCTAATCAGTGCTATTATCAACTAAGATTATTTTGATTGGGAGAGCCTCAACTCAGGCTGGTTTAAAAAACAGGGAAATTTCAGTGCTTACTGTAGGCAGGGATAATAAAATAAAAACAATAGGGTCGGAGGCTCACACCTGTAATACCAGCACTTCGGGAGGCCGAGTCGGGTGGGTCACTTGAGGTCAAAAGTTCAAAACCAGCCTGGCCAACATGGTGAAACCCCATCCCTACTAAAAATACAAAAATTAGGCCAGGCATGGTCGCTCACGCCGGTAATCCCAGTACTTTGGGAGACCGAGGTGGGTGGATCACCTGAGGTCAGGAGTTCAAGACCAACCTGGCCAACATGGCGAAACCCTGTCTCTACTAAAAATACAAAAATTAGCTGAGCATGGTGGCGGGTACCTGTAGTCCCAGCTATTTGGGAGGCTGGGGCAGGAGAATCTCTTGATCCCAGGAGGTGGAGGTTGCAGTGAGCCAAGATCGCGCCACTGCCCCCCAGCCTGGGCGACAGAGCGAGAATCTGTCTCAAAAAATTAAAATTAACTGTGCATGCTGGTACATGCCTCTATTCCCAGCTACATGGGAGGCTAAGGCAGGAGAATCGAACCCAGGGTTCGGAAGTTGCAGTGAACCAAGATGCGTCACTGCCCTCCAGCCTGGGCGACAGAGCTAGACTCTCTCAAAAAAAAAAAAAAAAAAAAAAGGATAATTTACTACTTCACATAAAAGTATTACAGTAGCCATGTGGCTCAGATATGTTCCGTAGTAGTAAGAAATCTCTACACCTCACCTTCTTTGTCTAGAGGTATTCAACCCCCATACGTGGTTTTCTTTCCCCTTTCTCCTGCTTACTAACCAGCCCCCAGAACAATTCCTGTTGGCCCAAATATGTTACTGGTGGCGAATCCAGCAACCTCAATTCTTGCCTCTTCAGAAGAAATAATTTGAAGGGCACAAGGCAAAAGAAGACACCGATGCAAATATTAGAGGAGGAGTGAGTTTATTACAAAGTTTTAGAGCAGGAAATGAAAGGAAGTACACTTGAAAGAGGGCCAAGTGAACATCTTGGAGGTCAAGTGCACTATTTGACCTTGGACTTAGGGTTTTATATGCTGGTCTACGTCTGGCATCTTGCATCCCTTTTCTGGTGGAATGCCCCTGAAAGGTAATATACCAGTTAAACTCTGCCATTTTGTCTGTTAATGTGCATGCTTGAGGTTACTTGCCCAACTCCTGAGATCTTAACAGGAAGCTGCTGATCACTAGTCTCAGGTGTTTCCTATATGTTGGGAGACTGCCTTTCCCTGGTGCTGGCTGTGACCAATTATTATTTTATGGAGACAGTTAACCACCTGATAATCACCTGATGGTCACCTGACTTTCCTGGTGGGATATGGGGGGAACGCGCTCCTGCCCCACTTACGCCTGTCTAGCTACCTACTGTAACAATAGGAAGTCTACCATTGTGGAAAACAGTGTGGCGATTTCTTAAGGATCTAGAACTAGAAATACCATATGACCCAGCCATCCCATTACTGGGGATGTAGCCAAAGGATTATAAATCATGCTGCTATAAAGATACATGCACACATATGTTCATTGTGGCACTATTCACAATAGCAAAGACTTGGAATCAACCCAAATGTCCATCAGTGACAGACTGGATTAAGAAAATGTGTCACCTATACACCATGGAATACTATGCAGCCATAAAAAAGGATGAGTTTGTGTCCTTTGTAGGGACATGGATGCAGCTGGAAACCATCATTCTCAGCAAACTATCGCAAGAACAGAAAACCAAACACCGCATGTTCTCACTCATAGGTGGGAATTGAACAATGAGATCACTTGAACTCGGGAAGGGGAACATCACACACCAGGGCCTATTATGGGGAGGGGGGAGGGACGGTATTGGGAGTCATACTTGATGTAAATGACGAGTTGATGGGTGCAACACACCAACATGGCACAAGTATACATATGTAACAAACCTGCACGTTATGCACATGTACCCTAGAACTTAAAGTATAATAATAAAAAAAAGAAAATAGGAAGTCTACATTTGGACATGCTTCAGAGCGGGTTGACTCTTTGGTTCAGTGATGTCATGCGGGTGTTTCTAGCTCTCATCATGCTCTTCTTCAGTGGCAGCTCCATACTCATACTGGTAGCAAGTGTTTCCAGGCATCACACCCAGAAACAACCACATCAAGAGAGAATACCTTTTTGGTGCTCTCCTAAGAACAAGATAACTCCCTCAAAACTTGCCATGAGCGTTCCCATCACGAATCCTTGTGTCAAATTCCTGAGGCAATCTCCGGCAATATATGCAAAATTATGTTTTGCTGCTCCCTGCATGTAGGAGTTGGATCAGCTTCCACCAGGGTGTATTAAGC